TGGGTGTGTTTGCAATTTAATAAGTAATGTTACAAACGGGGCCCAAATCTACAAGCATTGCTTTCATTGGGTACCCCCTACAGCATCCTTTCTAAAGTGTGTTGTAGTATCATTCAATCATATTTATGTATTTAAGAAAAGTTTTATTATCGTGTGTGATTATTATGTTGTAAAAAATGAAATAAATCTTGAAACAAATCGTGAATGTTAATTTTATTTCGCAGTTCAGTCCAAACCCACCCTTACTTTGGAGTACCAACTAAGTCTAATCACAGTCTCCAAACATTGCTTCAAATTTCTTTGCTACACAGAGTGATTGGCAGTGGACTCCAACATGTCCAAACTCATGTCAAAATGTTTCTTATGACTTCCTCTCCAACATGTCCAACGTGTCCAAAGTCACTTCAAAAACAACACGGAAAAATTGTATGAAAATTGAGTAGCCTTTCCTATCTTAGATTTGTGTCTTCTCATTGTCCAGTTCAACGTCAAGTTCACGTCACGTTCCACATTTATGCAACGTTATTAAACAGGCCTACTTATTACTGTGGCTTAGGCTTAAGCCTAACTGACCTTGGCTCACTACGAAATGTGAAGAATAAAGTAATTTCACGATGAGTCTAACGTTCCATCCCTTAAGATCACACTCACAGTGAGAGGATTTCAACTACTTCTCTTACCATGTACATGTAGCAGGTCATTTTTTTTTACTTATGGAGGCTGCCATGTTGGCTTGTCAGGTTTCCCATCAGAATACCCTCAAAAACTGTGAGAATCGAGGAAAGGAACCCGATTACCATTTTTTTAAACTACGGTGTCCTTGACGTAACGTGTTAGTATTTAATTTTACAGCGCTCGTGACACGTGTGCATTGGATGCACATGCCTGCATTAGGACAACTAGTAAAAACCAACAATGCATTTGCACTTCTGCGGCTGTAACATGTTTCCTTCACAGAATTTTGTGAAAGGTATTTTGACATTCCCAGCTCGCTCTGAGCAGAGTTGCTGACTCGAGTCATATGATTTGGATTCGAGTCAGACTCGAGTCGCTATTTTTGTGAATTGTGACTTGTAAAATCCAGACTTGACTTGGACTTGCAAAAAATGACTTGTTACCAACCCAAGTCAGACACTACTCGACTGGTCCCATGTATTTTTAATTAAGCTATTCAGTTTACGCCTTACGTGCATAAAAAAATGGACTTCGGCTTGCGCGGCTTCTACTTCACCCAGCTGCAGAAAATAGACCTCAAGCTCAGTGACTGAATCTAGTAAAATGAAAAGCAGGAGTTTGCAAAAAGACTGTCGCAACAAACTACAGTTTTCAAATGACCAAGTCTATTGCATGATGTAATGGATGAATGAACTATGAAAGGAACCTTACCTTTCATTGATAGAAAGTAGGTCTTTGTCAATTGCATGCCCGAAGTCACGCAGTCATGTTAGGTAAACTAACTAGCCTAACCCATTGGTAGTATTTTAGTATAAATTGAACGAAGGATAAAGTATACTACATGTAATCAGACGAGTGAAGTCTTTTTTTAAGTATTTCATCTGAACGCTTATTTCCACCCTGCAAAGTACATTTATTATAATTAAACAGTGGTCCAATATACGACAGATATGTGTTAAACTGCAAGAATAGTAATTACAACCCAAGTGAAAAGGGGGAATTGCGGAGGCATTGTCAAAGTAATTGGAGAAAAGGTGTTCATCTGATCTGTCCGAAACTCATAACTCGTAACTTCGTAAGTTGACGCCTGGTTCATTTTGCTTATTACAGCTGGACAAAATAATGTGCAGCTTGACTTGTACTTGGACAAAGAGACTTGTGACTTGACTTGTGTTTAGACCAAATGGCTAGTGACTTGACTTGCCCTGTGACCAAATGACTTGTGACTTGACTTGTGACTGGACCTAATGGCTTGTGACTTGACTTGTGACTGGACCTAATGACTTGTGACTTGACTTGGACTTGCAAAAAATGCCTTGCTGCCACCTCTGGCTCAAAGTGTTGTGAGTATGAGCGAATATTCAAGCCCGAAGATGCTCGTATGAAATCCCGGAAGGAGTTGGTGCATACAGCACCAGTTTTAGAGGAATGTGATTCTTTCGGCTCCATGTAGTTTACTGACAAATAAACAGCACTAAAACAAAACTGCTATAGAGTGGATTATCTAAGGAAACGGAAAACAGAATAATATTGCAGGTAAGGGGCTGAATACCATTAAGGTTGACTCCACGAGAAACAAAATGAATCAAAAAAGTGCGCAATGTTTCGTTTAATATTGGAGGGCAGTTATGAGCACGGTGTCTTATTTTGTGGCCGTGAATTTTAAAAAGCACTATATGTGCATGAACAAATATCATTTAGCACTTTGTAAATGAAGGAAAGGGACTCAAAGAGCAGTCAGACAGTCTGCTTGACTGAGAGCGAGCTCCTTCAGTAAATATCCACATCCTTTCACAAGTCACAGTCTCAAGGTCTGTGGTTACGTTAATAATGATGCCACTGCTCGTTGAGACGTCATGTCTTAATTAAGTCTGGGAAGAAATACTGGATGTACTTCAGTTATGATTGGTTTTTAATCACGGCCATACACAATGGGAAGAAACAAGATTACCATATTTGTAGAGGGCGACTGTTCCCGAAGCCCAGTGTCTGAAATCAAAACCTAATTTCAACGAGGATATTGAGTGTTACGCGGGCATGACGCCGATGTGATGTCGTTGTGCGTTAATTTAAGAGTCATTCTCAGGTGCCAAGTTAAATTTGTCTTTGATTCAATGAAAGTTAGAAATGTGTGCTCATGGTAGAACTGCATAAAACAAGGCAAAGGTCACTCTCCCTTTGGCGGGACATTTGGACCAACCCGTCACCACCATGAAATCCACATGCTTGAGCTCACGGGACTTGTCGACTCGAACGACTTTATTCGAGAAGTCAGGCGATATTTCAAATGCAATTCATCAGTGGTGCAATCGCAGGTGGGCTTGAAGGCTTGAGCCCCTCCCCGGATTTTTTTTCTGTCTTAAAAACGAAGATACAATATGCACATACACGCCTTTATATTTAACTACACTAGCTCTGATACTGCCGCAAATCCCAGTCCCCTGTGACGCAAGGGAGGCTTGAGCTGTATGTTTCGGCGGTAAATTTCAGTCCAAGCCTCACCAACAACAAATCCTGCCTGGTGTGCCACTGCACTTTATCGATGATTTCGACTCAAGAGCAATTAAACAAAATAAGACGTCAAACTAAAGAGTGACTGGGTTCAGTTGCTGTGTTACAGTTTTTTTTTTATTATTATTATTTTTTCCCTTTTTCCTCCCTTCAATTTCCCAAAAGAGATTAGTCGACCTGCTACGTCCACCTGTTTTTGAAACATGAGCGAGTTCTTTGGGTGAAAATAAAATGAGTTTCTTGAAAAATGCACAATGTCTGTCATCACTAGATACTAAAGGTAAGTACTGTACAGCTGCAAGGTAGGTAGGTCGTTGAACAAAATGAAAAAAAATACATACAAACATCACAATTCACGAAACCCAATTTCAACGTCGGTGGAGTGAAAACACTGATTCCCCGGGCAATGCAACCACTCGATTGAAAGAATCATCAGTCATTTACATTGAAAATGTGAGATTGTCCGGACCCAGCCAAACTAACAACCGTCAGATTCTATTTAAAGCAAAAGGAAAGAAATGTTTACATTTAGGTCGTCAGATGTTGCTTTAGTGCTTTGGTGCATGCCAACGGCTGTTCCCAAATTACAAGATCAGGTTTCAATTCTGATCAATTTTTGATGCTCAGCAAAGAACAAATTGACGGTGCATTAGTGAATTCGTACGTATTATATCAACGAGGCCTATCCGTCTAATTATTCAGAGATCGCATTACTCGTTAACAAAGCTCATTATCTACGCGTGAATATAGGGATATGGATTGCGAGTACGCAATTTTACGAAGTTGTCTTGTGTGCACGACGCCCACACAATAACTGCGTATCCTCTGTTCTTGAAGAAAAACGGGTTTCCACGGTCGGTGGACGCAATCACGAAAAGCCATTAGAACTTCACAAAATGGCTTCGTTTAATATGTCAACACCATCCATTACGTGAACTCGGTAACACCACCAAACTTATTAGTAAACGGCATCAACCTGCTTCTGTTCACCTCAGAGTAGCTTTGTGTGGTCATCTGAGTCTCATGAATGGGATTCCTGGTTGGGCAAAACTAGACTAGTAAGCAAAACACGAAAAAGTCTTACTGATAAATCAGAAATACCCGACTAATTTTTTTTAATGAAATGTGAGCTCAGTGTTAGCGCTCATGTTAAATGTTATTCCAATTCATTATCATTTTTGGCTGAAATCCCGCATGCAAGGCTTATAGCCTTACATGGGCGTAAATCCCTGCGGATGGGGTTGTATATCCAATCCACCCCACTTTTTGAGGTGAAGGGATGGGCTATTTTTTTTTGTGATGAGCAAACAATTGAAATGCATTTTGGAAGAACTTTTGGGATTTCCCAACGACTAAAACGTCTAAAGTAAACCCTGATATGGGAAAAGAATTTTATAAAGCCATAAAATATGTCTTTCTAATGTAAGATTCTGTATGAATTTGATACACATTACAGATGTACATTTTTATCATGAACACCGCCCTCTATGCAGTATATATGGTATAGCCCCCCCCCAGTTCAAATTTCCATGGCCAGCAAGTCATCCTCCCATCTTTTCCCATTCCCCACCCCCTTCCCCCAATTTCCAGCACAGATTTACGCCACCGTAGCGTTATATAATGCTCATAATGCTTTGCTTTTCCTCCACAATTTTATGTGCCAGATATTAAAGCGGTCGTCAGCCACAGCGTCTTTGGGCACAATGCGGGATACAAGCGAACCCTTGAGCACTTCTTAATTTCAGTTATTGTTTTTCGTCGCCGCCCGGACGTTTTCGTTTTCCAAAATAAATATCTTCGAAATATCGCGCGCTCTTGCCTCGCTGACACTTTTCGAGAATAATTTGCCAGGTTGGCATTGCACTGCTAAGTGTTTACACAAGACGTGTTGGTCGAAATGTACACACCCGCAATGACAGTTGTAAATTAACACACGATGAACCCGATCTAAACTTTCTGTCCTCTCTTTTCATTTGAATTAATTTGTGCACGAATGAGGCACTTTTTTCCCAAGAGAAACATGGTAGTGTTATCTCCAATTCCCAATAAATCTAAGGTAGCCTCAAGTAGCCCATAAATTGCACGCACTTGTAAGTGTATCGTCGGATGCCTATTTAAATCCCTTTATATATTTTACGATTTTAAAGTAGGAAGTTGACTTTAATACGCTTATGTGCATAAGCACAGACGTGTTGGTGGACACTCAATACATTCTAAAAACCCTCCAAAATACGACTGCCTCATTAATCGGGCGTCCATTTCGCACAAGTATAAATAATCTAATCAAGTTTCGAGAAAAATATCTTCAGAAATCAGCTAATCAGCGGGACTTCATTCAATCATCACGGGTAATTTGTGACCGATTTTTAGCGAGATGTCTTATCTGATTAGACTTGTCCCAGTCTACTTTGACCCGGTCCTTAGACTCACCATTTGAAGATAGATTCATCATGGTATTTCATCATACACCGTGCCTGCTACTTGGTCTGAGAGTTTCATACGTCCACGTGTGAGGCACGAGCGTCACACCCGCGTAACTTGGAGCCAATAGCCTCGCAAAGGTTCAACGACTGCTACAGTCCGGGGACACTCGCTAATATGCCTCGGTGCTAAAAGACACGGCCGAGGGACTTGAACTTCATCCTGCAGGCAGTGTTTGTAATACTGTTATCGACTCCCACGCCTGGTCTCACACATGTATAAAGAGCCCTGAAACAAACACGGAAACAAATTGAGAATCGAGACTTGGAGGAGTCGAGATCGCGGCAAGTCATGCGACGTCTCCATCCACTTTGTCAGTAGAAGCCGAGTCCACCCATACTGACGCTCATCCTCGAACCTTCACGAAAACCCCCTGACGATTTTCTTTCCGGGTAAGTTTGCCTCACTTTGAAGACTCGTGTTATGAAGTTAATAGCCATTCGAGTACTGCACGTCGATTTTGCTAGCTGTTGCATCAGTGCCCCCTACAACTGACGGCACGTCGTGGCTGATCTTTGTGTGCAGCTGTGATGCTGGTAATTTTAACTGTCGGGCACTGTGGGAAACATCTCTCTGGAGAGTTCAATTCACTGGATGCTGGAACAAAGTGAATTCGGGTTTGTTTTAAGACATTAACATGCAGTTGGTTAACATGAGCCTTTCTGGAATACAAAAAATGATCCACAATTTTATAAGAGTGTGCCATCCCATCCTCGAATACCATCCCAACCGACGATACCTCAGTGATGGTGGAGAAAATGTTTTCAATGTAATTTGATGAGCTTGGGTATTCCGTGCTCCTTGTTTAAAATACCTTTCAGTTACAGCACTATGGGAAAAAAACACGTTAGTCTCGGACTAACCCCGGCCTCAGATGGGGCTTCAACCCGAAAAGAGCGAAGGGTGGAATCCACACCCTTTTTTCCAATATCGTCACAGTGTATTGTGTTCACGTGCCGAACCATAAGCAGTTTTTTAGTAACATGTCGCGGTCTCATATTGACACCAATTCCGTGGAAATTTAGAATGCTGCGCGTTCTCGGGCAACGCGCATTTCCCCGATACGGGTCAGCCAAAACTTTACAAACTTTTTCCAATTGAAGAGTTTTATGCACGCGGGTTAACACGGGTGAGGACATGAATTTCAGATGACCGGTTGTGAAATGGTCCAACATAACCCGGCTTCTTATGGTGAAGGTAGCGTAGTTTGGACATCTTTTCTTCAAACAGTCTGGTTTTTTTTTACATCACACCTTAACGTTTTTTCTCTTGTAAATAGCAGTTACAATGTTAGGAAAGTGGACAGGGTAATTATTATTCTGTGAGCATCTTCATCAGGGTGAATCCATGGCCATTGGGGAGGGGGAGGAGAGGGGCGTTTTTTTCTCGACCAAACTTTCTGGGCCCAAAATTTGGGGAATTTCTGCACGCAACCTTGCAACCTTTTAACGTCCTATCTAAGGGATGAGGCTATACATTTTGGGGCTTTTTACATGGTTTGGGAAGGAGGGGAAATGCCCACCAAAATGGCCTCTCTCGTTCTTTTTTTTTAATACACAAAATAAAAAACAAAAAACAAAATAAAACAAAAGAACGGCTCTGTCCAAATAATGGCTACAGCAGGCAAATAACACGTGTGCTTATGAGAGCCACTTGCCAGCGGCTGTTGCTGTTTTCATTGGGACTCGCTTTATCGGCTCCGTCACTTGAGAATTCGTATGACTGCTGTGACAGGCTTGAAATGAACACTTGAATCATGCACACAGTGCGGTATTTTCCCCCAAATATTGTTTACCCCTCAAAACGGCCTTGAATACTCTTTAATAACCAAAATCAAATAGAGCCAAATATTTTCTCCTCGATATCTAATTTGCTATAACGTCATCAAAACTCAAACCCAAGCCACCTCTACATTTTAATGACGTTTCGTGAGGGCTTATTAGTATAAGCTTTTTATTTAAACCAGTAATCCAATCAAAAACTGTCTTTTCAAATTTGATTTTCTTGTGAGTTTTTAAAAATCGCAAGAAAATCCACATAGCAAACAAAGTCTTTCGAGGCAGAGCGCCAAATCCATCCAGATGCTGTAAAGCAACTTTCTGAATAACTGCTTAGAACTTGTGAAATGCCTAAATCAATAATTAGTGTTACTAGATTTCGTGATTACTGGCAAGTTTCACTCCCACATTCCAACTGTAGGATCACCGCTTCCGGCCGTCAATTTACCTTACCCATGTGGTTGGGGCAAACAATACAGCTCCTTCTGAATTACGTTCGTTGGGCCCACTACTTCGTCCTTTTGGGAAAATAACAGATTAATTAAGGCTTAGGGAAATTAGATAAACGCTGGCGGTCTGAAACGAGTTATAGTAATAAAAAAAAACGCCTGAAGAAATATCCCATGTATGACAGCTCAGTTGTAAGAGAGTTATGGTTTGGTGACAAAGCAGCTGGGGGCGCTTTGTAATTATAATTGACTTGTCAAAGCAAATTCATGTACAAGTGCACATTCCAAGTGAAGTTCTCAGTTTCTTGAGAAGGCAGGGTACGAATTGCAGAGGTCAGAGATATCTGTACGCGGGGGAAAAAATTAGCTTTTGTAAGAAATATCTGGTTTTCCCAACTTCCTGTTTTTATGCTGTTTTGTTGTAGAGTTGTCTGAGCGCTCTGGAATAATAGTTTTCCACCACACCTCCAAGGGTTCCTTACAGAAACTTTGCAATTTTAATGCAATCTATAAATATTTGGTTTGTGACTTTGTAAGAGTGTACGCATACTCAGTTCTGCAGTAGACACAAAACAGTCGATTTACTGTTTAACATACAAAAATAGGAATAACTACCTATAGGTACCACAATTCAACATATCCAACAAAAATTTTTAAAGGTTTAATTTTCGCGAATGCTACACAGAGCAGGCTATAGTGCAAAATTGACCGACTTTACTGCGTGTCGTACGTAGAATTCTATTAGCAGAACTTCTCCAAAGGCCCCGTCACTCGTTACTTACCACAATAAGTTGATTCTCTCCAGGTTCCACACCCGTTGCGTCATTCCAATCACCATGGCGACTGTCCAGTGTTGCTGCGCAGTTTTCGCCCTACTCCTTAAGTTGACTGTGGGAGTGGCGCAGGCGGCGCCAAACTTGGCTGACGCTGGCAACAATTTGCAGGAGTTGCTTCCAAGCCGTGAATCAACGTCTGCCTCTCTAGCTCTAGCGCCCCCATCAACGGAGGAAGGAGTCGTCGATGATGCAACAGTCTTCGGTCAAGTCGCAACCGGATTCATCCAGGAAGGAAGGTCGATGGTGCACGCGCTGCAAGACCGTTTGACACTCCTGGAGCAGTTCGTTCCCACCGGTTTTAACCAGATGCAGCCGGATCTGGCCGGCGGGCTCTCGCCTAAGAACATGGAGAAGCGAGAGAACCTGTCGCCGACGCAGCGCGTCATGGTGCGGCGGGAGATCATGCGTCGGATTCGGGAACGCGCTCCCGAGCCGGTGGAGTTGCCTATCGGTATCAGGTTCTTTCAGAATCCCGTGCCCCGCGATGGTGCGACAGTGGAGAAGCGAGGTGGCGCGCCCCAGCTGAGCGCCTCTGGACGAGCGGCGATACTGGCAGCGATCATGAGACAAATCGGTCAACAGCGACAGCCTGTAGAACTCCCAGGCATGCGTGGAGGAAAATAAATGGACAGTTCTCATTCTCTCACGAAAAGGAATCGAAAAAAGGACTTCTGAAACGAACAAGTAACATAACAGCATAAACAGAAGGTCAAATCGACCAAAACAAATCGATTTCTGCAGTTCAGAAAGAAATATTCATGTGAATTATTGCTTAATTAATTTTCTTTCTTACGGCTTTTTCTTTTCAAGCTATACAGTTCCTTATCACCCTTGGAAGCAAGTTCTCTACCTTTTTTTAATTCTTGCTGGTATACTGGCAAAAATGATAGCGCCCTCATTGTACGTAAGCAGCTTTAAATATTAAAGCGTTGGCTTCATGCGTGCAAGTAGCGCAGTGCTTTTATCTCGACTCGGGACGTGTGGTGAACAGTCTATGCCGGGTATTTCTTTTTTAACATTAGGTGGGCAACAGCGTTCTCAATTTTACCATGAATTTCAGCGAGTAGGGTGCCTTATATCGTAAAAGGATTTTTCAAAAGTGAGCCGCAGTGTTTGCCCTATACCTTCCGGTTATTTCACTCGGGACTAATATACCCTTGTGGATTCGGCGTACTGAAGTACCCCTCAGTGGTGCAAAGAGTTATCAAAGACGCTTAACTATTGCTGCCGTCCGCATGGCACTTTATAAATACAGAAAGAGGCCACAGGTTTGCGTGCCTGGTGAAAATTGGCCGCCCACAAACCGCGCCATACGCGCGCGAACCTGTGCGCACCCACACAGGAGCTTTGCATGCACGTGGTGGGTGGTCCCATCTGTAATGCGTCCAGTCCACGATCGTTTTTCTTTTATCAGTATATGTTGTAACATAAGTCATTACTCAGTGATAGCCAGATACATTCCAAAATATTTGTAAATTATGTGATAAATACACAGACAGAGTGAAAACGCCTTTATCGTATATTTGAAATTTATTTTATTGAGAGAGGCTTATACAGCATTTTAATGAAGACTTTAGAAACAAATTCGAAGGGCTTAAACCACCCTGAATTTTCACTAATGTTGTAACAACTCTCTAGCCTACTTTTAAATCGTTCTCATGGTCGTGTAAAAACCTTCCGATTTGTAGCATTACATCCAGGCAAAAATGTCAATTCTGAGGTTGTTTTCGTGCTAGGTTAAGCATTTGAAATGACTCATTGTATATTTTGCCTTGATTGAATGAATAAAAAAAATCATATTTTCCGTGAATATCTTAATTTTGGGGTTCAATTCAGTCGACTCACGTTTTCCCAGAAACAGCGGCTCATGAAATGGATGTTGTCTCCATTTGGAGAGCGTCCGTTCGAGGACACCGTCAATATATATTGCCTATTTCTACAAAATTTATCTTTAAACCGCAATCGCTTTAGAGTACCAGTAATGTTTAATTGATATACAAATATGGAAGGATTCGTTGCCCCGTGATCAGAATATGGACAAGAATATATAATATAAATCAGTGCTCTGAAACATGTAAAATCTGCTTGCCCTTAAGAAGGTATAGTTACCGAAAGCTCGGCAATTACATGTTTCAGAACACCGATTTTAATTAAAACAGTGTCATAGACCCACCACATCTTTATGGTTTTGTTCAAGCATTAGAACAAGTCTCAAAAGACAACTTGACGAAGACAAAAGTGGCTGGGGTCTTCAAAAAGAAAAAAAAACAATCCAGCCTTTTGGCTCTGAAAATCCTGAAATCATGCATTCATTGTCAATCTATTTTCATTAAGCTGCGCCATGGTTGCGCTGATTAAAAAAATTTAACTGCTCAAACCTGGAAAAAGTATTATAGATAAATACTTTTTAACAGTTGACGATTTTAATTTCCACGTCTTCCGAAAAAGTTCACAACTTTTAAGTAAAGTAAACTGGGAGCAACATCACATATTCACAAAATTAGTGGCCACTGCATAATTCACAACTTGGCTCATGACGTCAGAGATATCTATTCAAAAGGTTGTTATTTTGTGACTACATCCACCGGTCAGGCGCGCACACTTATCGCACATGTACATGTACGTGGCGTGGCATGCAGGCGCGAGTACCGAGTACTCATGACGTGACTTGCATATTCTGATTTTGGCTGAGAATATAATAGGTTTTGTTTGTTAACCTTTAACTGGCTGAATTGCACGTATGCAGGTTCATTTTTTGTAGCTGAAAGCAAAACACCCCCAAGTTCCGGGTACATTGAACACTGCAGCCTAAAATCAGGTCACTCAAACTTAGCTTCAAAGTGAGTTGCTGTTTTTTACTTGAACGTCACGCGTCAACCGGCAAGGCCAGCTGTTCCAAACAATTTCGTCGACAGTTAAAAGCTTGTTGTAAGACGGAATCTGAATCAATCCATCAACGGTTTTCTGTTTCTGGTAAAACAAGGACCTAAGTGAACAATTAGAGTTGACAGCATGAGTCACACTCACAGCGGAGGACACCACGGAGCAATGGTAAGATTAGACAACGTGTAAAAAGCGGACCTTTTCTTCACAAAATGCGTTCGTGTTCGATGTTCCTTCCTAGTCCTACCATGGTCCTACATACATCATCCACATGGTGCAATGTAAATATACATGTGGGCCTAGGAAGTAGGTAGCTGTAGGCCCCTACCTACATGTACCTACTGGTCTGACGTCCACCCTGCTCCCACGTCGGGAGCAGGTCTGACGTCGGACCCCACAGTTCTGTGGGTAGGGTCTACCTGTACTGTATATCTACATGTATGTCATACAAATACACGAACTAGCAGCATCTACTTTTTGATTGTACAGTTTGAGCAAAACTTTGTTGGTTGTCTTGAAACTTGTCGAGTGTTTTCTGAAAAACTCTGAGTCTGAGGAAATGGTGACTCTTTCTCAATCACTTGCATTTTTATAACTCACTCAAACTCAAAGATATGAGATTGAGTGATGGTGGAGTGTGATCGCACAATTGGTCTGATGATTAGGCCTAATCCGTAATCGTGCCAACACGTCCAAGTCATAGATTTCAAAGAACAAATGATCATACTAATATAAATGATCATTCAGTAACTGTTCATTGAAGAATATAATGGGAAGTCCTCGCCTTTCACCTCTATGGCCACAGGTTCGATTCCCTGGCTCGGTCCACATGTGGAGTGGGTTTTCAGTCCCTGCCTGATTCCGTGGGTTTTACCCAGAATATTCCCCTGAGGATTTCTTCCCACCTCTAAAACTGCAACTGCTTCTCCTACTATTACTAGTCTCCTCTCTCTAGATGTGAGCCGTTTGGCGGCTACCTGCAGCACCCTTTGACCCACCATGCCCACATCGTAAAGCTGAGGGCCTCCATGGAAAGCAGTGCTTTGCACTGATCGGAGCTTACCCTCATTAAAGATGACATGAATTAAAAAAGTTAATGTTTTTGAGAACGTTAATCGTACTTGCATATGCATGGTACATGAATCTGAATTAATGCAAAGTTGTTGCTTTCAAAATATGTTAGAAATGACTTGTTAACATCTGCCGTTCCTTATTGCAATTTATTGCAGAACGGAACAACTATGATGCCCAGTATGCATTCTGGGATGGATCATGGCGGCCACAGCGGTGTGCCAGGTATGACCCATCCCCCTGGTCACAACATGGGCCACTCGGTAAGTGCAGTATGAGCGTACCTACATGTAGAAGCTCTGCGTGACATGTACATGTACACGTTGACATTATAGGCTACCAAAGTAACTACGTCACACGCACAATTGCGTGGAAAAGACAATGGCGTGAGAACCAGCATGTGAACCAATACGCACTCGAACTCCACTCATATGCAGGCATTTTACCTTACTGCTTTAGTTCTTGCCCCCTCCCCCCTTTTGGAAAATCTCGGATCACGCCCCCTTTTTTGGAAAATCCTGCAAATGACGCTACACTTTGGTACTGTATAGAATTAGAATGGTACAGAGCCTACAAGTGGCATAATTACTCAGCGGATGCCCGCAATTAAAATTTCTTGGAACAAAAATGGATCCTGGGGTACATTTCAACTTAAATGCGGCTGAATGCACATGACTGGCAATCCTCTTTTAAGTTTTTCTTTTTAGTTTTTAAAAACTATATTGTTTGAATTTGGTGAAACCAAATAGTTGAATGGCAGGGTGAATGTTTGAATGTTCAATTATTTACATTGACGAAGCCTCACGTGCACTGTGTCCAGGGAGGCAGTGAAATTGGCGATTTCAACTCGATGTTTATAGGCTTGTTCATTGTGCAGGAAGAACATTTCCCTGAAATCCTCAATAATTGATAATAAATGAAATCTGATCCTTTCTTTGCGTTCATTTACTTGAATATGTAGCTGGGTACCTCGACACTTAATCAAACTTGTGGGTTGATTGACTAATTAAACTAATGTTAACTAATAGACATGATCCTGTTTTCTGTTAAAATCAAGGCAAATATGGGCATTTAACGTGTATGGGTAGTTACAAATTAAATCACTGTTTCCAGACAAACAACCTTTGATATGATGGACTTATCTTTCAAGGATATCGTATGATCGTTCAGGACATAAAAACCCACAAGGGAAAACTCGGGCTGCACCCAAATCAACAGCTTCCAGCCTAGAATAAAATACACCAAGTGGCTGTGTGTACATGTAGATGCCACCCAGTGGTGTCCATCACTCTTGGGTTGCCTATTATATTAACACCCAACCCATGGATTCTCTCTCTTGAATTGTCAACCAAATTAAGTCGTATGACATACACAATCTTGTACAGCCAAAGAACTACATGTGCGTACCTGTACGTGTATGAACAGCCATGAGTATTTTCCTATTTGAAGAGGATTTCAGATGATTTTTTCCGTCCTTTCATTTTCTCTCATTTCCTCCATTTTTAATATCCTGTAATATATATGTAGTCTTACTTACTTTGCTTTTGGGGTCCACAAGGAACCTCTTCCCTGGTTTTTCTAAAGGGTCTAATATCATGCCCAAAACGTCAGTTAGTATTGTGTTCAAACGTATGTTGTTTGTAGGCGTGTACACGATGCATATTCTACCGTAGTGCGCTTCAGAGCCGAGTTCAAACAATGCACAATGAGGCACATGTAGTATCGTATTTGTAATAAAAACCCTTCAGTGGACCTTTCCCATGAAATATGCAAATTGGACGGGCGTATGTGCACTGCTGACACTGGTTGGCAAGTGCATCCGTCAACACTGTCGGTAGCGTAGGCGAGCTGCTAGTAACCATAACCTGGACCGTTGACGGTCAAGCAAAACCATATTATAGCCTTTGCCCGATACTTGAGCACGTTTTTCTCGAAACTACATGTAAGTGAAGTTTTCAGTGTCCTGAGGTTGGAAAGTAACAGTTCCTTGTCTTTAAGTTTGGCACTCATGTCAAACTATACTAGCACAGAAACGGCGATAGTGACGCGCGCATGGAGATTTGTATTGTTACCTCAAAGATTTAAGCAACTTTGCCAACCAGTGGTAGTAATGTGCATGCGCCTGCCTTGTTTGCATATTTTATGGGAAAGGTCCATTGAGCAGCATCTTTGGGAGAGGTGCTGTTCAGTGAATATTGACCACTTTCATATTTGCCTTGGGGAAAAAAATAAAATACTTCATGGATAGCCTCAAAAGGCACAATTTACGTCACCACTCTTGAGCTGGCATCTGAATTGGCCTCAACATGCACATTTGCCTCATCTTTTAGAAGTACTGATATGTACACGTGTACATGTTACGTAAATTTGTTGGCCATGTTGGCGTTTTGACTGCCGGAACTGTGCAAGATGTTGTCAGCACTTAGTGAATCATCATTTTGCTTTTGAACTGACGACCAGCCGTAGTTTTACTGGCCACTGGTAGCAAAGGAGGAAGAGGCCCTGTAGGAGCATGTCTTAGTTCCAGCAGAAGCAATCGTATTTGAGCCCAGCAAAGCACGAGCATGCTGTACTTAACAAAAATGGAAATAAATTTTATTCACTCGTAAATATTTGCACAGCTGTACACATTATAAATGTACCTACATGTAATTGGCTCAAGATAAAATTCCAGACCAGAAAGCAATTAATCTCATCAATCAACCTTAAGTCTGAATTAATCTTCCTGTACAATCAATTGCAGACATGAGTTTAAAAAAAATCGATCTTAGCCTAAGATTGATTGACTTTGAGATAAGTTTGATATTTTGGAGATAAGATCAATTGTACAGTGTTATGAAACACTCCCCAGACAGTTTATCATTTCGTGTCTGCTGTATAACATGTGCATGTCGCGTGTACTGGGTACTGTCAGCCTACTGTGTGTAGGTGTGATGTACATGTACGTGTACATGTACGTACAGATGTGCTTGTACATGTGTGGATGCACGCCAAATGTTCATAAGTTGAAGTGAACAGTCTGACTCCCTGGAACTCTGCTAAAGGGTCTCGGAAGCGTTTTGTTTTTTTCAAATACAAATCTCCTAACTGCACCTGTGCGTCTCTGTTAACTTTCTTTCCAATTGTTGATTTTGGTTTTCATGCCAATGCGCGTCTCCATAGTCATGAGCAAAACTGTGATGTCGTCCCAGGAAGAGAACCTAAGTGTGAAATTGATTTGAGCACAACAAGCTGAACATTTAAAAACGATTTTGCTGGCTTAAATTTCTGTCCTTTGGTGATTCATTCATTACAAGTACACATAGCAACAAGCAAGCATGTGACCCTTTCCCAGAAATATTCTCAATGAGTAAATTCCAAGTTCACAATATGAACAGAAAAACCTACATATGCACCAAAGCATATCTTCCCTTGATGACCTCACAGCAACAGTGCCCTCTGTTGTCCAAGAAAGCAGGGACAATTTTAAATACACGCACATGCTCTTTCCCAAGCATTTAACCTACATCATGAAGGAATGCCAACTAATTTTCACGCATTGAAGGCGAGTGAATTCAAAATTGAAGAGAAAGTCATTGCTGATTACACTGTAAACTCTTTCTCAATCTGCTTGTACATGTAGGGGGCTTATTTCATTGGGATTTGCCCTTTTAACACTGACCATCACTGAATTTGTTTATGACCATTCTCTGCTTTTGCGTTGTGCAAGTTTCCACTAAAAACCTTCATAAGCTTTGATTATTGCAGGGGTCGCCCCCATTTTGAGCGCTGACAGGTGTATAATGTACATGTACTTGAACCTCAGTGACTGTACTTATTGGTTGTGTTATTAAAAACTTAAATCTCGATCCCTATTGCAAAATTACTTCCTGACTCTGGCAAGAAGCCAAAGCTGCAGTTTCATTCCAAGTGGCACATTTTTTGCATGTCAACATAAACCACTCGTTTTTATCCCATCTGAAATACTGGCAGGGCTCCTTTGGAAAAAAGACTTTGTCGTTGTTTTTCTTGTTTTCCGCTTTTCGTGACCGTCGAGGTTATGTAGGATTTGACCCTTGCATGGCGAGCAAAGGTCCATGTTTGAATGCAAAACATTACAATGTTCACACCTTTTGAGAGTTCTCACAGCGTAAGCATTATTGTTTCGTCTAGAAAAAAATTGCGCAGCAGTACTTGGAAAGGAAAAAAAAAGGGGGGGAAAAAATGAAAGAAATGGCAAAATACATGTACACGTTGGCCAGGTCCCAATAATTTCTTTTGAAAAAATCATGGCCTGAAAGCTTGCGCTCACCAAAGGCTCTCCAGCGGCATGCAGTGTTCTCTGGTATGGCAGTAAAAAACCCCAGATATTGTGACTTTGTTTTGTGAAACCAAATATCAACAGAACACTTCACAAGTTCACATCAGTGTCCATAAATTATCTTTTGAGCCGGATAAGTAACATCTTTGTACATGTAAATGTACATAGGTATACACGTACATATGCATGTCTTTCAACAGTTGCACCGTGGTACTTAGTTTTGATATTGTTTGTTTTATGTTGTTTTATCTATTGAAATGAATCCTTATCGTGCAAATCGTGATTTCATCATCTGATCAGTTCCTATTTGAAGAAATGTGATATCCTTCAATATTAACCTCCAAGCTCCCATGCCTGGGCTCCCTTGCACCTGTGGACAACATATACATGAAAGTTAACCAGCACCTGTAAACCCGCACAGAATTGGACATAAATCAAATCAAAAAGGGAAATAATTTCCATTCCTTGCCATTGGGGTTCGGTGTGCCCTTTGACTTCGGTAGACATGCCTCCTTTGATGGAAACCAGACAGTCTGTTGTAAGCATAGGCAGCTTCTGTAGTCCTGTAACTTGTTCAAAAAAATGTAGAAGTACCCAAGAGTACACTGCACATGTACTTGCTGCAGGTTTTATGTGGAAGAGTGACATGCACCTGTGCCGTGGTCAGCTGGAAAAGGCACATGTACATGAGTACATGTAGGCCATGTATGTACATGTACATGTACATCTAACTTGGTACAAAATTTGTTGGTACATGTACGTGACCATACATGTACATGTACATGCCTACAATGTGCATGTAAATAGGTGCGATCATGGGCAGTGCACCAGTATGCTTAAGCCAAAAACTGGATTCACCAGCCCTAAAACAAGCAGTGGAAAGTTAATTTACTTGTTTGTGCTACGTGTTTGGATCTTACCAAGCTTTGTTTTGGCATGCAAGAAGTTTTTACGGTACAGGTTCCTGCAATTTCATGGATAAAGGGTGGTGTTGGCGCACGGGGTACAGCTATCCGTTGTTTTCTTGGACATTTCTCTCTGTGGCTTTCAGGGAATTAATATTTGAAGGAAATCCACTTAGTATTTATCTTAACTGATTTCCATTTTGCAGACTGAGTCTTGATTCCAAGTTACAAGTTCATTATTACTAATTACTAATGATTACTATTCAGGAAATGCATAGAAATGAAAGTGAAAGAGCGTCTCAATTTGTTTTTCTAATCTACAGATGGTGTTCTATTTTAGTGACATGGTGACGATCCTTTTCCAGGGATGGCACGTCAACACTGTCGGAGGTAGAAATTTCTTATTTTCTTATTTTTTTTTTACATTTGGTCTGGTGAGTATGAGGGGATGAATACATGTATGTCCATGTAGCTAACTGATCTAGGGATGGATGCATATGTGGATGTTGATCTCTGTTTGCTGTCAGTAGATTCAGATTAACCCTAACCTTCCCCAACCACACAGAATTAAACAGTAGCAAAGTGTTTAATTCTGTGGGGATAGGTCTGGTAGGTCCAGACAGCTGGCTTTTGCATTGGGTTTGGCACACCTCAGAAAAACAAAGTCCAACAGCCTCTGTGCACAAAGTCCCATATGGGTATTTAACTTTGTGTGAACGGGGAAGGTTAGGGCCAGCAACCCTTGGGGGGTTAGGGTTAACAATTGTTTATCACATCCATTACAGGTAGGTTTCCCTTGTCTAACCTTTACATCAGTTTAACAAGGTAGATGTGAACAGTTCAGTGCAAAATGAGGTCATGGAAGTTGCCTCTTGTGTTTTGATATGAGGGGGTTTTCCATTATCAAACTAGGCGTGACCATTTCTAGAAACTTCTCCAGGAACCAAGAGTTTTTTCTTTTTTTCACTCTCAGTGCAGTCCCGCTGAGCTTGTCACGTGCTGTCCGCCTCATTTACTTGACAGGATGTTTAAGTCATCAAATGTTAGAAATGTTGTAATTTGAATCAAATCACATGATTGCATAGAACACTTTGCCAGTTTTTTTTTTTCCAACTGATGTTTCCCAGCCGAGCAATTTTCTGACTCATTTCTTAACATAGCATCACATGATGGAGATTGAACACGAGCCAAGACATGTGCATTTCCTAGTGAAAACTAAACTCATTCGCGCGAACAAGGAAGTGCCTGCCCAGTCCTGCCGGTACTCGGACACTTACTTGTCTCAAGGAGGAAGTCTAAACTACAAGAACGAATGATCAATGGGAAGTCCCTCTAAGCTATTGTACTCTGGCTGTTGTGCTTTTGAGTTGAGAGTTTACACTACGGTGCCTCACCGGTTTCTTGAACAGAAGTGTCCAAAATACAATTGATCTGATCATTACCAGGTTGCAGGGTATCAGTGAAGTCGGTATTGTAGCATGAGTTGGGGAGCTTTGCTATGACTTTGGGTGTGAGGTTTCTAGGTACAGAAATTTGATCTGGTTTCAGATGAGAAAGCGCAACCTTTTTTTTAAAGTTGTTGATTGTGAGTACAAAAAATGTACATGCATATATGTACATTGTAGCTATAAGGTCATGACTTACATGTACATGTATGTACATTTAAGAAGAGTCACTGTTTTCACTTAAAGAGCACCTTTTTGGAAAACATGTTTTCTCTGGTTTTGTCTGTATAAATAAATATGGAAACATACAAATCGAACACAATGTCATTTGTCTTTAGAGCTCAACTATAACAAGCTAAAAAGGGCTTTTTCTGTTCATGCCAAGATGCTAATTCTGAATGCATGTAGCCATTGTTTGGCATGCCCAAGGGACTATCCACTATGAACTCAGGGTGAGGGTTCCCCTCGTTTTTTCTGTTTTCTCCGAATGACGCAATCTACATTCAGAATTCACATTTTGGCACGAACAGAAAAAAAACCTTTTTAGCTTGTTATAGTTTAGCTCTGAAGACAAATGGCACTGCATTGGATTTGGATGCTTAAATATTTATTTGAACAGATAAAATCAGGGAAAACATGGTTTCCATAGAGGTACTCTTTAAAATACAATCCTTCACTGTAAAGCCAGGTGGCAGATTTGTTGGATTTTGGGGGTACATGTAACGGTAACTATTGACAGTACCCAGGAATTTAGCGGAGCTAGTGGTGAGAGATGTTTCTAAATGCCCCACTCATTTCTAACAAATACATGTACGGTAAATGTACAGACTCACTGGCTCAGAAGATGTGGGGACTGCATTGAGCCACACATACATGTGTAGTGGTCGATGTTGTAGGGACCGAAAATGTTAGAGGGGAAAACTTGTTGTCACAATATTTCAAACAGGAAAACCGCGCAAGTATACCTGCGTCCTGTTCTTCTGTTTGTAGTGTGATTATGTTGATTGACAGCCTGTGCAGTTGTCTGTGGGCATTTTTCTTGCCATTTTTGGCAGGGGGGAACTTTGCTCTCTTCCACCTAACTCACCAGAGGACAGCATGCTGCGGTGATTATGCATTGTTGGCCTGCATTAACCCTAACACTCCTCAGTCCTCCAACAGGTGAAGGATTGAGGAGTGTTAGGGTTAATAGGGTCAAGGATGTGCCAAATCCAGTAGGCACTGATCTGTTGTTAGCAACTTTTTTATTTTTCTATTCAACAGTTTCAGAACAATACTTTTTATGTCAATGTGAAAGATATATTTAACTGTGATGTAATTGGCGAGGGCATGCCTACTACATGTACATGTAGGTTGTCCTTGGCTGAGCGTGGATGGAACAGCAGGGAGGAGAGATGGTAACCCTGGGATTTAATTGAGTGCAGGGGGATGTTCATGTGGTCATGCAGATAGCAAGTCATTGTACTATGTCAACAGTGGTATAAATGGGTCGTACCATAGCGTACCATTTTCATGGGTCTAATTTATTATGCGTAAGGGTGAAAAGTCATAACAAGGAAGGGTGACAAGGCTGTAAAGACTAGTCTCCTCCCAAGGCTAATATCAAGCGTGTGACTTTCGGAATAGAAAATATCCAGTCCCTCACATTTGCAAAGGTTTACATGTTCCTCATTCTTTTTACAAGCCTCTTGAGGCGTGGTTGGAAGATGGGCCTGAACTATATTTGAAATGTAAGACCTCCTTGAGAGAAGCGCAAAATGTTGGACAGAAAAACAAATGCCAGTTTTTTGCTGAAATACGCGTAAAAATAACATGGGGGGGCTGTTTGTCCCATACAGATCTGAATCTCGATCAGTGATCCCGAAATTGATTCACTCTACCCAAGCAGGTGGTGTCAGTGAACCAGCACCGGATCACTGATCTCAATCGGGATCCGCGTGAAACAAACAGGCCTAGGGTGTAGCTTCTTTGAAGAGGTTGGCTTTTGGTACAGTGCAATACATGTACATGTACAGTGTACATGTACGGTACCTTTTCTGAAGTAAAATAAAGCTACGTCTGCATCTCCTACATATGCCATACAACAAGCCTGGATGAATGTTGTTGATCCTGTAATGTTTTCAGCTACCGGTAGTCTTTGTCACTGGGGCTCAAACTCAGGGCTGGAACAAAAACCTAATCTCAACCACCGTAAAATAATCTGGTTCACGATTTCTTTCTCTTTTGTTTTTTGTCAATGAAATCTTCAGCCTCATTTGCTGTCGCACACAAGGCCATGAGAAATGGTAGCCTCCACTTAGGTTTGGGCCTCCATAGGGACATGATGGTGCCATTTGCAGTGCTCAGTGGCCAAATAATTTAGACATGGCTGTAGAAGTCGGCTGTGGCAATAAAGTACAATCCCATGAGGTGCAACCATCATAGTGACTAAACATTTTCTTTTTGTTTGTTTGGGTTTTCTTTTCTCTTCCTTTGCTAATATCCTACTCGATTGCCATGCCAACAACCTGTAATCAACTCTGTGTTTTTACAGCCTTCCGGTATCACTGACAAAGAACGGAGTCTGCAACATGACAGGTTTTTAGAAAACCTGATGCGGAAATATCAGATTTCTTTGAAACCTGTCCTGTTACCAACCCAATTCTGTGCCAGCCCGTCAGAGTGAGTGATATGGCAGGTTTTAAAGAAATTTGATATTTCCAGCGGATAAAAGGTTAGGGGAAGACTACATGCAGTTCACCTGTGTAGAAAATGTGCTGCGGATTGGTTTTTTTTTTGGGGGGGGTGAGTGTATTTCCCTAGAATCTCTCCTTCGGTGGTATCGTTACTGGTAGTGTCTTTGGGGTGTGCATTTGGAAATGGTGTCTATAGAGATATGATATCCTCAAAAATATGTATTTGAAAAAAAAGGCTCATTGAGGGGCTGAATTTGATTTTATTACCTCGGACATACCACGGTGTCTGGAAATTTTAACAAATGATATGCACCCACATGTACGTTGTATATGCTGTGTTTGTATAGAGAAGTGCGCATGTGACCTCCTTGGTGCTTGATAGGAAATAATTTGTCCCAAGGACAGGTAATTGGACCCTGCAAAGATCGATGTTTCCTGTGGAATAAGGGGAAAAACTTCTTGTTTTGCTTGGACGATGACCATGACCAGTTCCTCCGTCCATCATATTCCGCTGCACTCTCAGTGGTAGGCCAATCCCCGATCCTTTTCCTTCACCGACCAGAGTTCCTGTCTAAGCCCTGAAGGTCGTGGAAGTTGGCGCCAGACACACCTTACAGGACGCACAGTTACATAACAACAAACCCCCCCCCCTCCAAACCCAAAACGCTGTCATTTTGCTGATATGGCGACCATGACCTTTTTTTCTATCCAACTTTCTCACCTGTCCTTCCTTTGAGTTCCAGCAAACCTGACTTCCTTGACAGGAAAACAGATGCATGAATGTGCAACTTGTGGGACCTGAGGAAGGAAAGCGACTGATCGTGCAGAATGTGTACACGTACTTTCCACAGATATTGTTGAACACGCCCGCGGCTTTGTTTTAGTATTCACAATACATTCAGCTTTGTCATGTGCACAAACATTGTAAAGTTATGTTCATTGCTGGAAATATCACTGCGTATAATATTCTAAAATAAAATCAACATTTTCAGTGTTGTATGATAGTCACAGGGAGGCAAAAAATTCAAGGATGGCTGGTTTCTTTTGTTCGTTTGTTTGTTTGTTGGTCGGTCTGTCTTTCTGTTTGTTTGTTTGTTGGGTTGTTGGGGTGTTTGTTTGTTGGGTTGTTTGTTTGTTTGTTGGTTTGCTTTTTTGCCTGTCATCATGTATGTGCATACCTCTGTGCAAAACATCAAAGGCAACATTGGCCTACATAAAGAGGAATTTCTACATCATGATGTGTTTGGGAGATAGAACTTTTTATTTTCATCATTGACACTGGCTTGGGAATAATTTAAGTATACAGTCTTTCATTTGCAGTTTTTTCAACAATAATTTGTAACCGAAGAAAACTGTCATTGAAAAGTACACTTGGTTTAAATATGGTTATGGAACTAAACTTTTTTTCTGGCAAGCATTCATTTTGAAGAAACCAATAGATGAAAGCAATTTCCAGCAATTGGTCCAAAGATGCATTTTTGGGAAGCACACGCAAACGTCAACGTGACACACATGCGTGCGTGGTTACTAAAATGATTCGTCAGTTCAGTGCATGACATTTCATAGCTGCATTCTTCTTAACAGGAGAAATCATCCCAGACACTGCATTCAGGTGCAATTTAAAGCATGATTTGGTAACTTTTGATGTGAATTGGAAATCCTAGAACATTATTTTCTTGCAATATGGTATTATTCACCAAGCTGAAACTTCATCGGGTTTATTCTCGGGCTCCCCTCTTTAGATTTTGAGTAATTGTGTTGCCTCAAAGGAATCTGACGCACCAATGACAAATGGACTGTACCTTTAATATTGAAACATTAAAGTTCATTAAATCATGTACACATATGGTTTTACTGTACCAGCACATACACCAATACGTACTCTGACTTTGATTGGAGACTCTGTCCAAATCAGTTTTTTTCTTGCTGTGGCCGCATCCCAATCGGCTGTCTTGTGCTAGGTCTAGGTCTCTGCTCCATGGAAAATATATGGGGACACACTGTAGACATAGCCATATCTTTGGAGGCCAGTTTCAGATACGGCTTATGGTTTCAGTTTGTTATTGCTATCTTGTTGAGGAAAGGCCTAGCCACAGCCAAAGTGCAATCTTGGACATGGCCATACGTGTACCTATAAGAATTCCACTATCTGCTCTATGCTGTGGCCATGTTGCTCAACCTTGTCTTGTCACACTCCCCCAGCTCTCGTGGGCTCCTGCTTTGCTGTCTTCTTCATGGCCATGTTCTACGAAGGCCTGAAGGTCTTTCGGGAGACGCTGCTGCGTCGGTCAGCCGTCAACGTCCGCTTCCACAGCATGCAGTTGTCCAAGAGCTCCGAAGCGATGCTGACTGAGACCCACAGCGCCGGAGAGTAAGTACTTGGGATGAGTCTTGTAGCCGAGTCCTTTCACAAGTCCTTGAATGATGACAAAAGAATGCTTTTGTCACAGTTCACTTTGAATAGCTTGTGGCTTGACTGAAGACTCGTGGTGAACTCACAGGGACTGGTGAAGGACTTGACCATAACACTGCTTGGAACTTGGACAATGACCACGGCTAATCTGAAGTCCCCATGTCATAGAGTTGTTCAGTACCACAAAGCAAGTCTGAGCTTACCAGAATGCAGCTGGAAACCAGTGAAATGCGTTATATATCACCTGAAATTCTGGCCGATGCCTGTTCCTGCTAAGCAGATATTTGTTCTTGCTTTGGGAATTTCTCCACCGACTTGCAGGAGAGAACTTAAAGGTCTGCTCTGCATGTCACACGGGAGAAACAATTTCTTTTTGAACCCATTCTGTGGCTTCAACAGAGCCATGGTGCCCTGTGATTTAAACCCTCTCTCTGAGGCAAAGGCACACAAACATTAATTTTCAACCCAGGATTTCACAAAACGTCAGTGCCATCTACTGACTGCTTCACATTTTCCTCGTCGGCGTTGATTTGGATGGAATTGACCAGCCTCTCTCTCCCTCTCCCTCTGCCAATTTCCCCCCCCCCCTGTTCAGGTCTCGCATCCTCAGCGTCAGCCATTTCATCCAGACCCTCCTGCACATGGTCCAGGTGACGATCAGCTACTTCCTGATGCTGATCTTCATGACCTTCAACGGCTGGCTGTGCATCTCCGTAGTGCTGGGAGCGGGCATGGGCTATTTTGTCTTCGGCTGGAAGCGGGCCATCATCGTGGACGTGAACGAACACTGTCACTAGCGCCTTCCCCCCTCCTCTTACTGAATAGGGACGGGCGGGATGGTTGCCCTTTTGGAAACTCAAAGCACCTCAGAACGAAAACAGAAAAATCTGAATTTTTCCAAGTCCTGACACACGTCAGACACAGAGCAGGAAGTCACATGTCCAGTGACTAGCTGTTCACGTGTCAAAAAAGCATTCTTGTTTCATTCGTTCATTCTTGTGACTTCATTTGCATTTGGACAGCCAACTGAGTGATTGACTTGTTAATGTTATTGACTTGATCACAACAGTAGTTTTGAATCGCAAGCTTTTTCTCCATATCATTTTCTGGCATGCAGTTCATGTACACTACATGAAAAGTGGGGCAGAGTTGCTGGCTTCAATTGATTTTAATTTCCCTAGAGCAAGTGGAAATTCAAGTACCAAAACACAAGAAATTACTACAGTCAACCTCAAGAACGATTGTTTGTAACTTAGTTTCTTGAGGTAAACAAATTGGTACTTAAAATGTAGCTCGGCAAATACTGAAAATTCTGTGATGAGACACTTTGGTCTTGCTCCATCATTTCCTGGAAAGCACTGCCAAAGGCTCAGAATTTTGGTCGCTGTCCATTTTATGTTAGTCGCTACAACATTCACAATGTGCATGGAGGGAAAGTTATCTTTTGTCATCAGTGGGACCTTCAAGATGCTTATAGTTCTTTGAACTAACGGCAAAAGTCATACTTTGTCAAAGCTACGTTATTTTACTCAGTATAAGCAGTTGCCTTGCCTGGTACGCTTTGTTCTCTGGATTCCATATGTTGCACCAGACCACATTTTCATGCATTCGCAATAAGGAGGGGTTTTTTTTAGTCGAATGCTTTGACAACTAGACGTACTGTCATAAATTTATACTATCTTGCCCTCGACAGATATGCATGTGATTCCATGATCATTGTGTGATCACTGTTTGTTTTTTTTTCCTGTGAAGTTGTCATAAGTGACCTCGCCCGTTTACTTGCGTGGATCTGGAACCCACGTTTTTACAAACCGAAAAATTCTCTCTCCGGGCTGTTCTTCACTCCCCCTACCCCACCTGTTGAAAATTTTTGTAACCCAACTCTAAATCTGCCTCATATTCATCCCAACAGCACTAACTGCAGACATGGCTAACAGTTAATTGAAATATATTTAAAAGAAGAAGAGTGGTGATGTATTTGCCACCGGTGGGGAAACCAAAAATCTATGGTCTCTGCAGGCCTGTGGTTTACGTAAAGTGTCTGTGTAGTGCTTAGCTGATTGTGGATTCAACTTCTGCCCTATCAATGAACCATGTACATGTAATTATATTATCTTATCGTCGGTATTCGGAGAAATCACTTTCGCATAGTTGTTTTTAGTCAGTTTTAAGTATGTTTTGTTTTTTTTGGTTTTTTAATTAATATTTGTTGCACGTCCTGGAAATTATTGAAAAGCAGGGACCAAGACCACAAGAAAAACGATTTTTCTGATAATTGATCAAGACAACTCCCAGAGAACTTGGGAGTCAGTTTGCCCCTACCGTGGCGAGGCGTGAGGACATCCGCAGTTCTGTAATCTGGTCCTCACATCCTGTGTAGCAGTAATGTCCATTGTAAGTTCAGTCTCAAAGTCCTTTCCTACGACCAGTCTCGATTACCGGGGTGAATGATGACGAGGGAATGCCTCTGTCACAGGTCATTTAAACGGCTCGTAAGTGACTCGTGACTTGGCTTGCGACTGGCTGGCTTGTGATGGACCTGAAGGGACCTTTGATGGACTCTGCTGCAGTTGCTCTGGTCACAATTAAGTCACAGTCATCCAATCTCAAGCCGCAAGCTTTTGAAATAAAAAGTGACACCGGACGTCCTTCACCGCTCATTCTATCGGACTATTACCTGACCTGGTGTGGTGTGATGTCATGAACTACATTTACACAATGTGCATGTGTGCAACTCCTGTGCGCTATATTTGAGACAGGCTTTGAAATGATGAGAATTACGTATGGATATACATGTATTATGAATTCGGAAATGCACCGAGACGCTTGCTATGTAATCAGAAAGATTTAAAGCATTAGTTTTATTTGTGTTATCAGGTTTGCTTTGCGGTCGAAACAATGAGGGAAATTGATATACGGATTTTTACACCAGCCGGACTAGTTCCATTTTTGAATAGTTGTAGCTGTGATTTTTTATTTTGTAAATGGATTTATAAGCTTGCTTCGTTATGGTTTCAACAATTGGGGAAAGTCAAGAGTGAGTTTAGTTTCAAGTGGAAGTTCTTTGTGAGGTGGGTTCAAATTTACACCGTGAAGTCTATGATGGACAAAAGAGGCCTACGTGTACTTTCAAGTACATATTGCGGCGCACAGAGGTACTTTTCTTTTACTGTGTCCTCTTTGATTCATAGTACAGTAATTGTGAGCATGTATTGTGTTGATGGATTATTCTTAATTGGATTTAGGCGTGCAGTTCGAAGAGTTGTGTTTGTCAAGATATTCACCAAAACTGCGCAAAAAAATCGAATTACGTCAATTTAAAGAAGCGTAAAATTAATTAAATTTTTTAAACCGCAGAATATATATATATATATTAAACAGACCGATAAATGGGTTAGCATTCGTAAAAGCGACCCAGAAGAAACTTTAACAAATTACATTCATTACATATATTACATTCAATTGTGCCTGAACAGTTGTCATTCATGAAAAACAATGCAAACGACTCCGGTGTTGGATGTGTTGAATGTATTCAACACAGTGCCCGGAGTGACTTTTGAATAATTAGATATATGCCTACTCCATGAGACCAATTCTATTTTTCCCTGTTTCTGATCGGAAGTTAGACATTGCTTTAAGCTTGGTTAGTTTAGGGTTTTTGTGAAGATGTCTCGGAAATTATCGTAGTAGAAATTGACAAAGCAATGAATAAAAAGGCCCTTTGTATCAAAAACTGTGAAAAGATACCTGTTTTTGTTTATTCTCTTGTTTGCGTCATGGGGCTCGCCATACCAATATATTCTCTGAGAGTACTCGAGACCACGAAAGAACATTTCTCGAGTTAATGACCCGATATGTTAAGAGCTAGCAATGACGGCGAATTCCACTTTACTCGTCTTGGGCTAAGAGTTCATTCTTCGCTCTATACCCGTTTCTGTCTTTGATTTCCCCATCCCCCCGAAACGGACATAAAAATGGATCTGTTAATGTAAAGTACCAAAGCATACTTCAAGTAATGCATCTTCGAAAGTATCCGTGAACTGACAAGTTTTAAAAGTGTGTGCATTTTTATAATGTACTCGTTTTAATTTTCATGAAAAAGGGTATATCGACATTTATGCACACATGTTGAAAAGTTTAAAACTGAAATGATTTTTAGGCCACTCTTGACTGCCAATTTCCATTAGAATCAAACACCCGACACCTCCAACCCCCCCCCAAAAAAAACAGTTATGGGCATAATGCGAACATGCGAAGTTCACCTCGTGATTCGGCCAGATGGCCCGAACAAAGATTTGTACCGGCTGGCTGTACCGTGGTTGCGGTGCGCTGGTGTAGAACGATTTGCGACCGCCTCTGTGATAATTGTCTTATCTTTGTCATTGATTGATAAACAATGGTGTCGTCTGTTTCATTGTCCTTACGTAAGTTCAGTGTCTGAGAGCGCAAGCGCATTATTACAAAGCAAACCCATACGACGAGAGTGCGCCTTTAATTAAGGTGGGGCTGAATTATGATCGCTAGGTCCCACCAATATAAAATCTACTCTTCGGGAAAAATGATTTATTTTTTACTTCTGTATGTCCTGTCCATACGGTTTCGCACTGTGAATATAAATGGATCAAACTCTTGGCAACAGAGCTAAAGAAAAAAAAACTTCGCAACTTTCGAAAACATCAACAGATCAGAGGGCGTCCTAATGTTCTCATAGTGTACACATTTTACACAAACTAATCGGACTGAATCAGAAAGGCCGGGTCGCGTCTCTGTCTTTCTGCTCAAAGAAAACAAATACAAAGGTAAGGGCCAACGGAAATTCTTGGGCCAAACCTGTGATAAAGAGACAAAATCCTATTCGTTTTTTTATTAAATCCTTAAATAAAAGTTCTTCATTTGGTGGTCGCTGTGGGCAGGATTCGACCTTGCGCGGAGAGACCCTGTTGAATTTCGAGTCCAACGCCTTGACCACTCGGCCACCATGATTGCGTCAGTTATTTTAAAGTGCAAATGATTTCAAAACTTTTCTAGCTCTTGAAATTGCTGTCCTTCGGGTATTATCATACGTGCAGAATTTTCATACTAAAACACATTTGCGAATAAAAGTGGCTCAAAAATCTTGTTGTTAAGAATAGTTTCACTTTTAGTTATCCACAGTTAATGGCATTTGTCTCAAAACTATACTTAGAGAGTGATCTTAGACTTTGGGTCGGGCCGCGGGGCTGGTTCCAAACGTACGTAGATATATAGGTCTCGCTTTCTTCCATTCAGTTTTGAAATTGCAGTGACGAGAGGAGACTATAATATGAGCTGAACGGAAGTCGTGATGGCCGAGTGGTTAAGGCGTTGGACTTGAAATCCAATGGGGTCTCCCCGCGCAGGTTCGAATCCTGTTCACGACGTTGGCGTGTCTTTTTCAACTTTTTATACATGTGCGAATTTAATTTGTCAAAAGATTCAAGGTTTATCGCAGTTTGGCGACCCAGGAGGTTGAAAGCCTGATTTTCAAAATTCCACTATTACAGTGTTTTAAAGTTTACAAACTGCTACAAGTAATTGTCGATTCGTTTACGGAGGACCGTCACTTCGGTCGTTTTGACCGGTAATGTAGGCTCAAGCACTGTCCAGTGCATTGGCTTACAATCAGGCCAAATATGCAGCGGATATTAGGGGGAGGACGCTCGTTTTCCGGAGGGAGACTTGGGCTATTTGGCCATCGTGTCAAACAAAATGAAGCTGTATTTTTTCGTTCATCAAACTATGAGCTGGTGCAAGTTTTGCTTGTCTAATAACGAGCATAAGCGACGGAGTATACCTTGTATAATGTTAACAATAATGTTATCATAAGGGAGCAGATAGGGAAAATGTACGCAACAAATGCCCGAGCCGCAGGTGAAGGCATTGTCAGCGTTTATTCTCCTGAGCCGATCTTAATCGTTAGTTTAACACCGACCATATTAAGTCCCATTCATGAATACCATTTTAGTCAGAGAGTGAAAGGAAATCAATGTACGATAAATTTTCAAGGATTTTGTTCACGAAGTTTACTTTCATTTCGCCCAACACGCCCATCCATTTGATGGTATATTCCTTTAGCAAGTAGTCTAGAATAATCTCCTTATATGGACTCTTGAGCAATAGGAATCGGTTAAACTGTCTCGTATCCAGGTGCCAGCGCGTGCTCAATACGCACTGGGCATTTTTACATCGCGGCTGCGGGCATTATCAAATTTAATGTTAATACATGTACACGGCCACTTGACGCGTTTCGACAAGTAGGACCGTGAGAAAAACTGTCCCAGGATTTTATGAATATTGGATAACATTAGAGAATGAGAACTCTCGACAGTAATTATTGTTTCAGCCTGTCACAGTGATATGTGTTAAAGCAAAATGATTCTGACAGAGAACTCTGTTACACCGATCAGGCGTCGTGCCTTGTAGAATCGTTAAAGGGCTGTTTCATCACAGCGGTCGATTTTATACCTTACTATGGGCCTCGAACTGGACCAAGAGAGGGCGCTGTTGTCAAAGGAGGCTGCTTTGGGCAGAACCGTTGATCTCCATTATATAAGGGCGCCCTTATTAAATTCTATGGTTCTCATTTCTTATACCACTTGAGATAAGGTAGGTCGGTCGAAAAAATATCCTTTAAAAAAAAAATCCATGTTGCTGGTGTAGGGCTATGCACGAACCTCAGTGGGCCACGGAAAGGTGCAGTATACCGAATGTTCACGCGAACGCCGACCGTCGCTGTTGGTCGTTTGCGAAATCGTAAGTTTTCGGGGCTTTTGTTTTCAAAGGTCATACTGGCCAATTTTTTTCCCTTCAGTTTTTTTGTTTTGTTTTTGTTTTGTTTTGTTTTTTTTTTCTTTTTAGCAGGTTCGGCGGGAAAAAAGCTTTTTTTTTCCGTCATTGTAAAAAAGTTTTAGTCAACGTAGAAATTAAAATGGTTTTAAAATTGAACTGGATTAAATTGAATTAGACAATCCAATCCAAGTAATGTTGTAAAGGATGGGTAAAATTAAAATACAAGCCCATAAAAGTCCTAAAGAATGCCAAAAATGCAGAAATTACATGTATTATGAAAAGTATATTGACTTCATTTGGGCGATATACAAGAGTGCTCCTCTAAGAGTTTGCAAGGCGTTGACCAATCACAATGCGCTTAATCTGTCGACCCAATGCGCGTTTGGAAAGTGTCCACAGGTTTCGCACATTGTGATTGGTCAACGCGTTGGAAACTCTTGGAGGCGCACGACTGTGAATTGCCTGTTTTAAAAGCAAGTGCCTAAAAATTCTTCTTAACCTCATGTTTAAAATTTTTAGTGAAATTAGTTTTGAATTACAGCACGCAGCTTGTTCTAGAAATATAATACTGTACTGTTACCACCAGTGAAAAAGATCTATCACTTCTTGATTTTGAAATTCTTCATTCAAGATTTACAACTTCAACATCTAAGCACATATTTGTCTGAGAGGGTGAACAGGATGCAGATGTTTCGGGTCCTTCAATAATAACAAATTCCTCGACCCTATTGTGACTGGGATGTATTTTTTCCTTCTTTGAATGACAAAGCGACACGAAAATCTGAGTCAACACAGGTAAAAAGTTTTGTGTTCAGCCCCACCAACGGATGAGTGGATCCATTGTTCCTGCGTTTATTCAGCGCCAACCCCATCCAACCCCGTGTGCGTACTACTCTTCGTAAAGGGCCCGTTTGGCAGGGATTCGCCATTTGTTCGTTTTACGCCCAAATTCCGTCCTTCTGACTCCATCTGTTCGTCGGGTGGCATTTAGTAAGCGAGGTCTCAGCCATGAACAGCATATATTGATATACATCTTTGTGAATACATGCTTATTTAATTTATGATAAGCGATCTGGAAGCAGGGCATGGTAATTCCATATGGTCGAGTTCTCAACACGCTCCCAGGTGAACTTTTCGCTATTCCCACAAGGACAAATTGCTGGTAGTGGGTAAATGTTCAACCATTGCTGGAGTTGTGCCAGTGAGGACTCGTCGAACGCAAAGTCATATTCTGGTGAGCCCAACAGCAGAGACAACATCGAAATGCGGCGGACTCTTGGTCGACCTAACTTATCGGCGTCAGTCTGTTTTCCGAGGGACGGCATGAGAACCGTGCAGTATTTGGGAAACTAACGAACTAGTGGTCATGCTCGGTAACTAAAGACACACGAGAGGGCTCGGCTTACTAACTGATCAGGTGAGACCGTAATTATGTTAATTTTTGACGAAACAGAAAGATACAAACAATTCCAGTTACCGAGTTTATTTAATTGAAATCAGCGAGGTGAAACTGCAGCATACTGATCGCGTTTTTTCCAATTATGGTTTGTCAATGCAGATGGTCTGGAAACGAATTTTAGGATGGGGAAAATTTTTAAAAACGTGTGAGAAACTACTTCATGGAATGCCATTCGAATACATTTTGTCTAAATCATAATAAAACCATGATATGCCGTGTCGGTATATTGAACTTGGACGGAAGAGTTCTATACAAGAACGCCACTCAAACACTCTGTGCACAAACCCTATGAGACTGGTCTGACAAATTCTACATCTCCACATTTTCAATTTCATAGTTAAATTTAACTTTAGGACATTGAATGCTTTCAGATGGCTAATATGTTACTACAGGGGAAAGTCAGTGGCGTCCGTGTATGGAATTTTTTTCCACTTGGAGTAGTCATCACTCGAGGGAGCTTAGTTCTGACTTAAGGAAGCGTTTGTTCTTGTTTAGGTGGGCTACAGGGCATTTCGAAATAATAGGCCTACCCAAAACTGATTTTGACACAACCAGCCGAATTTAACCGGGCGCTGTTCAAGCTGGCAGATGCAGTTAGACATGGATGTAAGTACGGTGATGTTATTTCATCTGGATGAGGTTGGATCACTGTAAACAAACGACTAACTTTCCACTGTTTACAAGAGGAAGCACACACATGAATGTGATCTTCCGCATAAAACTAATGAAATTTTGAATTTTCACAATCTTCTTCACCAGGACATGTTGGAATATTTCCACTTCAGTACAAACGTGACAATTCTCTTCGACGGTTGGCACGTCACCACGGTGCCGGGTAAGTTCACGTTGGCCTGGCTGTCAAAGTCCAGTAAATTGGAACTCTCAGTACCATCATGGAGGAATCTAACACGTAAAGAAACACTGTTTTTTATAGACTGGTGCATGAAACAAGCTCTCCGTCACCCTCCAGTGCGATCTTTATTTCTATAAAATCTCTCTAGAGTCGTGCCCCTAGACTACTGAATGGGTTAATCGTTTCAGAAAACATCGCCTAGTCTTTCATGTAGAATATAAAGTGAAATCACTTCGCATCACTCTCATGTTCAAAATGTTGAAGTTGAATTGAGACTCGGAACTCGGGTGGCGAAATACTGAAGACTTTGACTTTGCCTCGCGGAAATATTTGAGGAATTTTAACTACTAAAAGTAGTAGGATTAAAATTAGTCCGGTATTGTTTTTCTGAAATTTCTGCACTCGGTGTCCCAGTGTTGTATAGAGCAACAGACTAGTTCTTGCAAAACCAGTGTTAGGAGAATTTGCTCAATTGGACTTAAAATTTCAAATACCACAAAGCGTATGTATTCATACACACCATCTTTGTACTCGATTAGAATGGTAAGTTCTCCTTTTTGATGAAGGCCCTGTATCCTGTTACCATAACCGAGACTTTTTTGAGGCGGACCGCTGAGGTTATTCCACTGACGTCTTTCGCCTTACTCCTCGCCAGGCCTCCTCGGCAGCTGCGCTGTCGTCCTCTTGCTCGCGTTCTTCTTCGAAGTCCTCAAGACTTTCCGGGATTTGCACCTCCGGCAGGCCGCCAACAACGTCCGGCACCGGCTCATCGAGACGGCCACAGAGAAGACTCGAATTCTTGAGAAGCAAGCCGAAGGAGAGTGAGTTACTTTTTTTCTGAGAATCGTCAAAATTACTTTTTCGTATACACTCACAGAACAAGCTGCTAGTGTTTATTGAGAATCGTCAAGAAATCTTTCTGTCGTCTACATTCCCAGCAAAGGCCCTTAATGACAAGAAACCATACACCTAATGTTTTTTCATTGTGAACCTGCGAAAGTCGTGTCAATATATCTCGTCAGTATGACCTAAGGGAATTGTTTTCCACTGACGAGCGATTCTTGTCATGTATCACGCTACAAAGTGTCGGCGTTTCACATTGATTTTCATACCTCTGTTATCCTTGTGGAATTCACTGGTTTATAAACAACCCAATCAAGTATGAATGTATATAGGCCGATGCATAACATTTGACCCCAGTCCGGATTTGATATGAAACATCGCTATGTTTCTATTTTGTGCTTATCACAGACGCAACATCAAACTTAAGACAAGCGATTAGTCCTTTCAGTTACTCAAAAATGGGAGTTATATTTAAGGCAACAGGCAAAATTTTATACCAATTGCTACAGACGGATTTTTGTGCATGATTAACTGTTCACTGAACAAAAATAGTTTTGGAATGGTAACAATTATAGTCGACCTAAAAACCTTTGTATTTTTGTGTACGCAGAATTCAAATTCTAAGTTGGCCCCACGCTATCCAGTCGCTCCTTCACATTCTCCAGGCGTTGATTGGCTACATGCTAATGTTAATCGTCATGACGTATAACGGCTGGCTGATTTTCAGTGTTCTGATTGGCGTAGGGCTGGGCTACTTTGCATCTGCCTGGAAGAGAAAAATCAAGGTTGATGTCACGGAGACAGCTAAAGAGTAACGTAGTAATTATTCCAATCATTTAACCAAAGACAGAAAAATCAATTTTTGTAACCAGTCTAGGGAATGTTATGCAACAATAAGAAACCTGCACGCAAGCTACTGGAGAGAGGAGCAAACTTTTAAGGAATTTTCGTGGTAACGTTCAGTATGAATTCGGGATTTCTTTCAAGAATCACATTTAAATTCAGGGTGCACGCGTATTTACATGCACAAATGCAAAGGTGGCATCTCTCACAAAGTAGGGGGGGAGTGCCCTTTCGCTGCTTGCTAAAACTCGATGTTAACTTATTTGAAGTCATCAATGCGAAGTTAGATGGGCAGTAAGCGACAATAACCAGCAGGGTCTAAAGTCAGTGGTCAAATTTGTTCTCATGCGTGCTGCTTGCCTGCAAGGCTCGACGTGAAGCAGTGGGAAGCATGTAATGCATGAGTATATTTCGGCAGGGTGTAGGCCTAATCGGAACGTCCTTAGTTGGTAGCACAAGTGATTTAATTACAGACCTCTACACTGCAATGAAGCGGCACAATAACTGGTTGCTTACGCAAGCGGATTTCGCCAAAAAAAAACCCGGAGATGATTGTATCTCAAAAAACGCACAACAGGTTTTAAAGTTTCCAAAGATGATTTAATCAGAATAGAGCGTTCAAAATATCGCGTGCATTTTGATGCGAGAGGGCATTCCTTTTTAACTAGCTCTTCAAATTTTTAAAGAGAAAAACGTGACTATTTATTTTGTATAAAGTGTACGTCGTGCATTTCTACGTAAGTTTTGGGTTTCATTCCATCTGAATGCTCACCGCGTAAAGATGACCACCGTGACTTTGAATGCAGAAATTCTGAATATACAAATATAGAATTACATGTAAATATTCACAGTCAGTTCAGTGGAAGTTGCTGATATTTTCCCTTTCGGTCCATCTTGCATAGGCCTACAGCCGTGTTTCACACTGGGTGTACTCGGTACCGGCCGTGTTAACTTTCAGTTTTGACGTTGTGACGATTAAGATCTTTTGTTACTGGTGCCATGAAAATTCTCTACTTGCCTACTTTATAAAGTGTTACTGATATTTTGAAATGCCATCCATATGAGGGATTTTCCACCTGCAGTAACATTTATATTTAGGTACGCTATTATGAGTTACATGTACATGTATCTATACTTGTTTTGATCATTCTATGGTCACAGTAGTCAACAGCACCTGCAGCTCGCTTGTTAAAAGTGTGTGAAATCTACCACTTATTTAAAAAGAAAAAAACACACAAACACTTTTAGACGAAATTGTGCGTGTATGTTCTTGTCAAAATTTGTGTAGTTGTAAAACAGAAACAGAGGTTTTATCTCTTTGGAAGGACACCGTCTGGTGTCACCAATATTCACGTCGCCACTAATATGGATACATGTATCTTTACTTATAAAATACACTGACTTTCTTTTTCAATCTGAGGCCATTCTGTACCCTTGGTGGTATCATTGAAGAGATATTAAACAGAAACGATCTCTCGAGTGTTCGACAAACTCATTTTGTTTGAAATACATCCGTATACAGTCGCTCTGCCTCGCTCCGATTCTCATCGGCCATTTTTCTGTGACCATGATGCGAGAGACCGCAGAGTGTATGTCGAAATTGCACTCAAAACGACAACGTATACTTACCAACCTGCAAATTCACTTGATTGGAAAAGCTGGCAATATCGCTCAAGTGGTCATATTGAAAATGAAAGTTGAAGGCAGTTAGAAAATTAAAAACCAAAATACATCCAGCTTTGGTCTCCAAAAGTCAATTAAGAATACATTTACGTGGATGTTTAGAGACGGAGATACAATGCGAACAGAACTTGAAGATATCAGAGCGATGTATTGCTTTATGGAGACTTCTTTTTAAAATGAACAGGCATTTTATTCGCAAGTGTAATGAGAAGGTTGAATAGATCATTCTATTTGCAGAATTTCGAGACACTTTTCCGAGGGTATTTATTTCTGATTCAGCACTGCAAAGGTTAACTATTTCCGCGATTCTGTTAAGAGGGTGGCATTTAATAACATTGCATGGTCATTATAGTTTTGTGCCGTACGTGTAAATAAGTAATTCAGAGGAACTCGTTATACTTTTTGTATCAAAATCGTATCTTAATTAGGTTCAACTTTATGTAAATGATTTACAATACAGATAGAGAGAATCATGTACACTTTGAAAATGCACAAGTAATGCTACGCAGTTTTAAACCGATTTAACGAGACTTTTAACGGCGACCATTCTACCAGAGTGACTACCCAGACAGACATGTCAAACAAAACTGAATTCTGGGTCCCAACAATCAAGGATGGTCTTCCTAAGTCATATCCAACATCTGCAGTTCTGCGCGGTTTGCCATGGTCTTCCTAAGTCATATCCAACATCTGCAGTTCTGCGCGGTTTGCCATGGTCTTCCTAAGTCATATCCAACATCTGCAGTTCTGCGCGGTTTGCCATGGTCTTCCTAAGTCATATCCAACATCTGCAGTTCTGCGCGGTTTGCCATCTTTAATGCAGTACCGTGTCGGAATCAGACTTTATTTTTGTGGCATTCAGTAGCTGAAGCATTATTGACAACAGTGACTCTTTCGACCACGATGTCAACATCAAATGAAGGGTGGAAGATATTCACGGTAAACTTATAATGCCAGTGAAAACAAAAAGAGCATTTTATTATGGATGATGTTTATTACATAAGTGCCATTAACTAATGTGAATATTGGTGTGTTTTTATTGCTTTTCGGCCTGTTTAGTTTCAAGCAATAAGTATTCGAAAAACTTGTGACAATAGAAGAACAAGTTGAAGCCTTTTAAAACCTATTTCGTGCGGTTTCACTTGGTGGTGTTCAGTAATTCCTGTCGTTCTTTTCATCGTCTCTGAATATTCCGACCCCATCGGGCGAGAAACTTGAACCGCCTCTCACGAGGAATCCCTAACCCCCCCCCCCCGGAATAAATCTATGTTGGCGAATGAGGGCGGAATGATCGATGGGGGTTGGGGGCTCAAAGGTACCTCAGACTCCCACCTTGTCTCCCACCACGAAAAAGTGGGGATTACTCAATAGCCCTTTCTCTTGGTATAAAGTGGACGGAGGATATAGACTTCACACCCCCTACCAACCCAGGCCCTCTGCCTGCCCAAGGGTTCCCCCTTTCTCGGCGTAGGGGAACAGAACTTTCCACTAGCCCTTTATGCACAAGGCATGCATGACACAAAAATTGGTGCATTTTCTATAAAATAACCTGTGAAAGTCCCAAATTGTCAAGATATTGAAAGGGGGTATTACATCATTATTTGCTCGTTGCATATCATGGCTGGAGCCGGGCTGAAACCATGCTTTGGATTGGCATAGTGCGACAAAGACCTGTAACATAGTGACGTCAAGAATTTGGTCAACATAATTATGCTCGTTCCTATAGCATCGAGCCCCTATAGGAAAGCACACAAAATAAAGTATGACGTCATTATGTAATAGGGGTCTACCAACCCGGCCCGATTGAAAAAATTGTAAAATAAACAAAGACCAGGGCCAGATAACGTAAGTACATTGTACATGTAAGCCGACACCACAGGGGTTTCTCCAACAAAAGTTCAATTATTGTCTGGTCCTTCATCTTCCCATTTCTTTTCAATTTTTGATGGGTTAGCAAATTACATTCTTAGATAATCATTAATAACCAAAGAAACCTCCCAACAAATGATAGTTCCCGAGCTAACATGAAGCCATTTTACATATGACATCCTTCCACTGTCTCAGGCCATGCTCAAGCTTTTAGCACCCATTTCTCAACCGTATTTCTTTTTTTCAAGTGAGCCCTTATACGGAAGCCCTCAACCAAGGAGTTAATCCTGGGCTCTATTTACACAACCCCCCCCCTTTTTTTTTCTGTCAAGCAATTTCCTGTTTTCAAAAGGAGTTGCATGTCTACTTTCATGCTGATTACCCGCGTGAATTCTCGTTTTGAAATTGGTGGGGCGCACCCATAGGTTCCTTGTTAGTCCAGTGAATAAAAAGCACTTGATTTTTTCAAACAATGTGCACTGGTATGATACGCGTTAGTGACCTTCAGGTCGTGAAGTAAATCTTTTACATTCAGAGAATAGTTCATGTAGAAGTTGCTTGTGAAGTCCTGTCGTGGCATTTTTGTTGTTCTCTTGAAGGTGCGGCAGGATTTATGTTGCCGCATGATGGCGCGCTTTATCCTTCGTCGTCAACATCGTCATCGGTCGTCACGTTTCGGCCTCGTTTCCACGCCAGCTCCGCTACGTGGCCTAACACGAGACCAGTCAAAATGCTCAAAATCAGCCAACCATTATACGTCACGACGACGAGAATGAGAGCATATCCGAGTACTCTCTTGGCCAGGCTCAGAAGTATCTGGATGACGTTATGCTTACTCAAAAATCTGCCGGCCAGAATTAAAAACAAACAGACAAATAAAGAATAAAATTAAACGAGAAAAATCCTGGTACCGTCTGCCCGCAGTGACATACAGGGTGTACAGTATTAATTATTTAGCCGATGGAATCATGAATTTGTGTGTGGGAGGGGGCGGGAATGACCTTTTCGTTCCTTTCTGTTGCCAGTCTTGATAATTAATTTTATTGAAACAACACAAAATAATTTTGAAAGCTTCATCTTTTATCTCTTAATTTCTTCGGAGCCGTTTGTATCTTTTTCCTATTTCATACTCTGTATGGCATTTGCAAACGCGCTCGATTTGCAGGAATATCAAGAGAACAGAGAACTTTTACCGTGCCACTTGGACCTTACGCTTGCCAATTTCTCCTAAAATTCTCTTCTTCTCGTCGGCCGTCTCCTGGGGAGGATTCTCGTCGCTGGCGGCGCCCTCCTCGGCATAAATCCCTATTAAAACTTTGAGCAACCTGTAGAAAAACGCCACGATGACGAGACAAGCACAGCTGAGGACCAAACCTGCTTCAGACAGACGAAAAAGGTTGAAAAATATAGCTCTAATCTCCATTTCAGAGCGGGGCAGTGCATGGAAAGAAACTTAGAGAACGGCATCTTGGATTATCTTCAACCCTTTTTCCAAGTGCTTGCAACATATTCCAGTTGAAACGAAACGTAATCAAACAATCACTTTATATTGAACGAGGCATGTCTTCCTTTTTTAAAAAAAAGTATCCATATTTTCTTTATACAGTTTTGTTTTTCTTGTAGCTCGAACTAATTTTACTCGTGTCAGCCTTTTGATTTTTTTTAACTAACCGGGGATCGTTGTGACGTGCCAACGTTGGAACAGGATGGTTACCTCTGTAGAGAAGTCAAGATGCGTCAACACGTCCTGTGTTTGCCACAAATAGAGAAAAAAATCCCACTAGTTTGGTGGATTTGAGGATATTTATTGGATGGTGCAATCGGACTATCGGAACAATCGGTTAGAATGAATGGATACTTGCACAGGAAACGTTCTGAAATGATCGCTTCTTTAACTTGCGGTTCGAGGGCAAGGCTATCTTTAAGGAATCAGATTTCCTTCCCAATCATGCATGATTTTGTTCAGAAACTTCAAAGTTTTGTTTTTTTTTAAAAGGGGCACCAACACACAAGCAAACAGGAAGACACAAAAGCAGATAAAGTACATACATGCAACAGTCTGCCTTTACAAATTAAGCATCTCAGAAAACATTTACACACAGCGATTTAAGTACAGTTTGAGTTTTTTAATTAATGTTTTTATGACCCTAATCAGTAACCCGGGATAATAAAACCCAGTAAAAAAAATTTATTGTTGAACAGGAGGTGGTCCTCGTAGCCAAAGACGGAATTCGTGACTTACTTTTACTTCAGAATCCATTTTGAGTCTCCTTCCTGAAGCGGCTTGGTCGAAGGTTGCGAAGTCACTAGCCCAGTGTTTGAAAACTCGCTATGATTTTCGGTTCACCTGTATAAGCAACAAGGGAACGCGAGTACATGATAGAACATGAAGGTGGGCGTGGCTGAACAAAGCAACCCCACAAAAAGCGGGTTCTTTGAGGTTATTGCGCATAGTCAGCAATCAAATACCGCTGGAACGAACTGAAGCATGGTACAGGCTTGAAGGAATGGTATGAAACAAACGTTATGACAATAGATTTATGACCTCCAGCCAATCACGCACATCTTACCTGAAACTGTATGCAATCTGTTCACAATAGCACTCCGTCAGAAACGTCACTCTTTGACTGAAGCACACTCCTTTTGTCTGACCCATCATGTTCGTGCACATTTCTTGCGGCTATAGGCCTACTGAACGAATTTTGCGGAGAGAACCCGCTTCTTTCTCTCGTGTCCAGTCATCCACAAGAACTGTAAATACGGGAGACCTATATTATCGGTGTCAATTTCTGTAATCTCTAAATCCATAGCAGTTTTCTTAATGGTTTTTAATGTGCCAGCAAGTCTTGCCTTTTGTAGCCTGGGTCAAGGCGGTCGTCGTTAGCCACACGTACTGCATTACTATCCGTTTCCACCATTGTTTTTCGTGCGCAATAGAGCCTGAAAGTTGACCCCTCGTGGCGCTCGTCCAGAACCCTTGACAAACAAAAATTGAAGAATTTGTAATATAATTATTTTTGCTCAGTCATTTCTTTAACACTCAACTCCGAAAAGGCCTTTGGAAAATATTTGCAAGTATAGAAACTGAAAAATTACCGGACCTAAAAAAGAAATATCCTGAAAATTGACCCATGCTCTTTCAAAAATCTAAAATACATAAAAGAACACTTACAGTAAAAAGATAATCGATGACTCGCGGTGTCGTGTTGCTGGTAGCGACGTTTCGGCTGCTAGTGCTGCTAGCCTTCATCAGGCAATTTACTGTATTTGTCATCCACCGCGGTGATTATGTTTATCTCTTCTATTAAAAGAACACTGCAATTTGGTGGTCTCGTGTACGCAAATGAACATTTACAGAATTAAACTATTATGGTAGTCTGTCGAAAAAGCCAAAATAAAAACAGATCAAAATCTTTGATGGATTCTTTAATTTATTATAGGAAATAAACTGAGCAGTAATGTACTTTTACGAAAGATTCTAATATTTTATCTAACCTTTGCTGACAATAATTACGTCATGTCAACGGCAATGGAATCTGGAACCCATCGACTGCAGGTAGGTAAATCTTTGAAACGTTGTATAATCTCGTTTTCATGTAAGAACGGGCAATGAAAACAAACACGCATGAACAAGGAGACCTAGAAACGATATTGTTGGGTGATTTTGAAAGGTCGTTAATGAAGTTTGTTTTCACTTTTAGGCGCCATTTCAAAATTCTTATCGGATAGGTGTCCGAGAACGGTCTGACCGATACGTTTGTCATCGGTTGGCTATCAGGTGAAGTGTTCTCAAGTGGCCAATTCTAACCTGAAAACTCCCTCGGCTCGACTGATCCGTTGCATTACCCCCAAGGCTGTGTGGTTTTAGTGGAGCAACAACCCCACCATTATTCACTCAATACGAGTCACTGTTGATGGATATCCCATGCGTGGCTCGCATTACGAGTTAATGACCTTCTTTGGTATTCTTTACAATTGATTCAGGTCAGTGTCAAGTGCAGGAAGGAATTAAATATAATGTGATATTGAGAACAATAAACTAATTGCAAAAATAAACATAACCTATTTTCAACTCCCTATACCCCAAACAAGGCTAATGGTTACCACCTGCTGTCACCTGTCAACGCTCGCCTGACGAGCCACTTGTCCCCCAGGCCCCAAAGCAATCTAACCCCCCCTTCCATCCTATAAGCCAACCGATGGCCACATAGCCTTTGATCAAGGCGCCCACGGCGGAATGGATAGTGCTCAAGAGCGAGGAGCTGGAGGAGACTAGTTTAAACGCCAAACCAAGGTACGAAGAACGGCTACACGACGCACGAACGACCGAAATGAATCACGCATGCGCATGCAGTAGCCGAGCATAGGCCGTGTCCGAAACGGGCTTCCAGAGCTACGGCGAGGTCTATTGTCTGCGCGTCTCGATCCATGCATTTCAAATGGAGGGAAGACCTAGACCTAGCTCTAAACAACAGATTCGGATGCAGCCTGAGTGTGTCTTGGACTCGACTATCGTGGGTGTTCTATAGCCGCCAAATGTGCGTCGCGTCGTCCCGACTCCATGACGCGATGCCACGACGCGACACTACGACGGCTCCGTTGCGTCGAGGCGTCGCGTCCTTTCTCAATACTTTTATGCTGTGTTTAGTGCGTTGCCTCGTGCCGTCCTGCATCGCATCGTGCCGTCGTGCCGAGTCGCGTCGTGCCGTGGCGTCGTGTTGTATCTCGATGCCGTCGCGTCGTGCCGGCTCGTCTTGCCGTCGTATCGTATCGTGCCGTCGTGACGTCGCGTCCTGCAGTCGTGCTGTCGCGTCCTGATGTCTTGCCGTCGCGTCGTGTCGTCGCACTGCCGTATAGTAGTGCCGTCGTGCCTTACTGTTTCTAAAAAAAAGCTGGTGATCACTAAGGCCAATAGAGGGCGTATTTCACAAGTCCTGGGGAAAAAAATAATGAACGTGCACAGGAATGCTCTACACGAAATACACGCCCATAGAAAACAGTGCCAAATCAGACCAAAATTGTTGACTTTCAGGAAGAGGTTGACCTCCGTTTTTTCACTGGAAGTTCAAGATTATGGCCAGAAGATCGCTTTTCGTTTCAGTTTTTTGGAGGTCAACCACGTGTTTTTTTTATTCGCCTTTCCCCGAAGATACCCCCCCCAATAGAAGTAAAGCTATGTGCTCAGCTCTGAATGTAGCCGCCCGCCTCTATCCAAAATAGGCTCGCAATTTGGGGCTTTATGTGAAAGAAATATCCCGAACTGGAAACTGCCAGTCCCAACTTCATGATTTATAGAAACATTTCTATGACCCCCCTGATTATGGCGCACCCCGTGGGATCACAAAATATTAATGAGCTTGCGCGCAGAAATCCAACAATTTGGTGGAATGCGCAGATAGGGCCTACAAGATTTAATCAGGAAAAATGGTATCTATTTGTATTGAACTTAACTCCGTCTCTGAGGGCGCTTCCTAATTCCACCAGTAATGACGCAACGGCGAGAGCATAATGCGACGGCACGACGAGACAGTACGACGCGACAGCACGACATAATGTAATAAAACACAGCATAAAAGGAAGCGGCACCTCGACGCGACGGCACGACGGGACGGAACCGAGTATCGTCGCGTCGTGGCGTCGGGGCGATGGGACGACGCGGCGCGACTCCAGCGAAATTGAGCACAACTCAAGTGCTAAGTGCTTCGTCCTTGTCACAAATCAAATCCTCATCAGTAAAGACAAATCATTTGATGGATTTTTTAGCCAAGGCGAACAATATCCAATTCACCCCGTCCGCCAATAGTCGATATTATCTGGGGACCCTATGCGGTGGCGCCATGCAAAGACTGGAAATGACCCGCACGCCGTAAACCGTGCGTGACAGCCTTGCATTTTTCTGATCACCACACAAATTTAGACGAAAAAAGTCTGATTACACTTAATAACCTTTATTTTCATTCTTAGAATGTGAATCGTGGATTATAGAGTGTTTGAACATTGTTGTATTGTTATTTTGAGTAAACTTTGAACAAATTTTGTTTACAATAGGGTTGCATAGATGGTGTTTTAAATCAACACTCTCTCGTTCGAAATTCGTTACATTTTGATATAACATTAATTCTTAAAAGAAACATTACAGACACAACAGAAACAAAGAACAGAAACACAAAACCTAAAGAGACTAAAAGGAGGCACTATTAAATAGTAAACAATTAAAACAATCAAATTTGTCGAATAAAAAGGAACGTTATTTTAAAAGTGAAAGATAGCTTACATAGCACGTAACCAAAGGGATTATGAGGTTTGGGCATCAAAAATGTATTTTATTAACAAACGTGCATCAAGAGGTTTGTATGTAAGTGGGAGCGGGGAAAAAGATTTTTGGAAACTGAAGGGAAAATGATGAAATAAAGTAGCGAAAGAAACTTCGGTATCTCCATCGTTCACTTTATCATGCCCTTTCCTCACTGTAACAGCCCCATCTTGTCTGTCCCGCTTAAGCTCAAGTATTCTGCACGGTGTTTTTGTTTTCCAAGTTCGTTTCCTCGACTACGGTGTCCTCCAAAATCATACCAGATACATGTCGTGCTCTGAGGGCGTATGGTTGCCCTTCATGACCGACTCTACCCACCACATGAGCTTGGGCACGTGGGTGTAGAAGGCGAACTGTCCCTTCACCGCGCAACCCTTCCCCGAGCTGACGATGCCGATCTGCACCCATCGCCAGTCGCTCTCGCTGGCTGCCGGGGGGAAGACGCGGCGCATCAGCGGCCCGCCGGAGTCGCCGAAGCAGGCGTCCCGCAGCTTGCGGTTGTAGCCTGCGCAGAACATGTGAGGGGTGAACTGGTCGGGCTCCTCGCCGATGCGGATCAGGCTGTTGATGCAGGTGGTGTCGGTGCGCAGGGGCATCTCTAGCTGTTGGAGGCCCTCCTCGAAGTCGCTGCCCCGGCTGCTGTTGGCGGGCACGGGAGAGCTGTGGCCCCAGCCTAGGACCATGGCAAACTCGTCCACTTCGATCAAAGCGTCTGGTTTAGGGGAAAGCGGTCCGTCAGCAAAAAAATTTTAACAATTTGATTTAGATTACACTGCAGATATTCCTTACAAAACAGCCCTCAAAAATTAGCCATTATAGTAACAAATTCTGGTATTATGTGCAGTATCACAGGCTGCCCTCCATTGGATGGACAGAATTTCATCGCTTTGTCCACACTGACCACTAAGCGTTTTCGATAATTAATTTTGTTTGGTAATGACCCCTGAATTTGCCAAACATTCCGTTCGGGCTACGTTTGAACCTTTACATAATCTATCCTGTCTCATTCGTTGTCTGTTCTTATCGACATTGATGATTTCTAACAACATATATGATTGGCCAAACCGTTTCCTTTAGAGAACATCATATCTCTCTATGATTGGCCAAACCGTTTCCTTTAGAGAACATCATATCTATTATCCAGTGGTGTAATGTACATGTATATTTAAACTCGCATGCACTGAACTGTTTACCAGCGATCTTTCCGCAACTAACAACTTACCTACGTCATCCTCTGGTCCAGGTACCTCAGGAAGGCATACCGGCCTGACGAAGGTGTTGAGGACAGCCGGTGCAGCTAGATGCAAGAGGGCAATGTCGTAGTCGAAGTTGATGAAATCATGCTGCTTGGGTAAGTACAAGCCGTCAATGTTGAAGACCTGCTCTTTGTACGTTCCGCCGTCCCGCTCGCGATTTGTCAGTCCTGAACAAGAAAGCGTGGAAATGCATCGAGAGAAACACATTAACGAAAGTTGTGAGTAAAAGGTGAAAAAATTCAGAAAAGTCACAGTAAAAAAGCGAGGTGTCGCAAATGTGACGTCGCATCATACTGTGCATAAAAAGAACTTTAGGCCTATCCGTCCTCACGGCTTCGGACAGCATGGAATGAGCCTGAAGTAGAGAGAGAAGAAATCCCATCGAGCGGGGATCGAGGTTACAGCTTACCTAGTCTAACCTGTAGTCGGGCTATGTCCTCATCGTACCCAAAGCAATGACCTGCCGATAGGACCCAGTTCTGTTCCACCAAAGTCCCGCCACAGAAGAAAAACCACTGGAAATAAATGAAAGCGATTGTCTTGCACCATATCATCGGTATTTCACTTGCTTGCGTCCCTAGGTGTTTTATTTTGATTCCCGTTATTTATATGTTGGTTTCTTCGTGACTAACAACAGAAAACCACGTGGCAATGCCAAAGAAACACTGTCAAGTGTAAGCACTGTCAAACATTTCCCGACGATTTCCCAGACCACCATAGGTAATTTCAAGCACGTGATGCGTTCCACCGATTGCGCATGCTCTGTGCTTTGAAATATTTCTGGTGAATTAGAAAACTCATGAATTGATCATGAATTCTTGCTGATACATTGTGCACAATTTTAAGTCATCTTTATGATGCTGTGAATGATTCTATGAGGTGGAACTTAAATGATCGCCATGCCCTGAATCCTGAAAATAAATACCTATTTCCCCTATGGCGTCTTGTACGAATCTTGTATGAATATCTAAGACTTCCCCACTTACCGAGCCGTCATCCCTCTGCCAGTACAGCGCGGCCTGCCACGGCCAAGCGGCATCGTTGGCGTCGAACCCTCCGATGACACGGCCTCGGATAGGCTGCGTGATGTCTCCAGAAACGCCGCAAGTGGAAAAATCTTCAGAAGAGTCTAAATTCATGTGTACAAGAACCAGAGGCCTTAAGTCAACTGGGGCAATATTCTGTATTTTGGCATTTATTCTCGGAGGAGTTTTGTATTATATGTTAGTGTTCTTTTTATGTGGGATTATTTTCAACTGAGAAAAGTACAAAAGTAACTCGTATCATTCTTAATTATATTCTTCAAAAATCATCAGATTGATCCAAACCACTGAGGCAGTGGTTTGAAGAAACATCAACGAGGGGGTTGGAAACCGTTGGTGAGATTTACAGAATTATTCTCGAGTCTTGAGAAAATCTTGAATGAAATGACCCTTGGGTGTATCGCTTCTGTCCAAGCTTCAGTCGTCGGGACTGCAAGCTTTCAAGTGAGAACATTTCCACGTATCGGCAGAGGGCTCCCTCAAGTGAAGAATACGACAGATGATGTCCATCGTGTACCTAGTTCACACCTCGGTACGTTGCCCGTCCACTCTCCGAACCAACATCCGATCTCATCGTCACCTCGAACCTTGCGGTAGCCCTTCTCGCACGAAAACTGCAGGTGCAGACCGTGGTTTAGCCTCTTGGGATCGCTCAGGTCGTTGGTTATGAGAACGTAGGGCGGAAGGTCAGGAATCACACAGCTTTCTGTTTTCCATAAAAAAAGTCAGAGCTGAATTCATTTTGAAATTCTACCGAAGTCACAGAGTGTTGGGAGAGAGTCCTATTTTGAGGAAGGCACAATCAAGTTTAGCATTGGACTTGATTGCCCTTGGAAAGGTCGATTGCTAAGAATTCTGCATAGCGGAGTATTCAGAATGGTTCCTTTCACAAATGCCAAAACAAGGCGAGAATGATGTCCAAGCAGAGCTTATTCCTGCTGTCATAATAGCTGACGCTGTTTAGTAATAACAAAAATTGTCGGTGATGATGTTGATGATAACGACATAAATGGTGGTCATGAAGATTTTTAAAATTCGAACATAATTTCATTACTATTATTCGCTTTATATTATATTATAGTATTCGCTTATTTCGGGTATTCGAATATTATTCGGTTGTGCTAACCCTTGTGGAATTTCAGGGAGAAAAGTGGAAGCCATGGACAGACATGAAGCAGAGGAGCCTGACAGAAATGAATAACCTTCATTAAAAACGGATGAAAGATGAAACTCAAGGATTTTTAAGACACACAAAAACTGCAAAATAGTACCCTTACTTTCAACGCACATCGGGGAGTCTGGGTACCACTCTCCCCGGTAACACTGCACAGGAGTGTCGGTGGCTCGCTCGGCGAACGGGAAGCACTCGTACTCCACCTCCGTGCCGTCACGCACGGAGTCCGAGGCGTCGTTGAGGTAGGTGCCCGACCACAGTTGAGGCAGCTCACACACATCTATTGCACAGTGGGGGAAAGATGACATTAAAATAAATCGGCACTAAAATGCTGCAATTTGTGTGTTAGTAAACTAGTGATTTGTGGTAAATGAGTAGTTTGCCAGAGGATATTGGAGCCCGACGTGTCAGGGTTCTAGATGCAATTGGTATATTTAATTCTTTTCACTTAGAACGAAATTTCGGGCAAATCGAACCACGACAAAAGTGACTTCACTGATGACGGTGAGGATAGAGTTTGGGTCGGAGAGTTTAAGCATCTCGAACCTGACACCCCCTCAGAACTTGTTGAGGCCTGTATTCCTGAACTTTTCCCCACAGCCCGACCAATAAAACTCAGCCACTTACGATCAGCATTCATGGGGTCCGCGTCGGCCGTCAGCGTCTCGCGGGTCAGGCAGAACGGGATGTCCGGTAGCCACTCGCCGGCCGTGCAGGTGGACGAGCCGTCCCCGTCCACCAGTGACGTGCCCCGCTGGCAGTACACCTGCACCACGGTGCCGTGCCGGTAGGAACCGTCTGACCGCTGCTCGTTGGTGTACTGGACCGTGTCGTAGTTGTTGACGGTAGGCTGTAGCCTCTCACAACCGGCTAGTAGGAGTATAGTTCGGGGAAACAGTAAAATTCATACCTCGGAGAGTTTGGTGAAATTTAATGGGTATTACCGATTCGGATGGAAGGTATCAGATAAGCTTTTGCTCAACTCCAAAAAGTACAACTCGCAAAACCGTTGTCGCAATTAAAGCAGACAGAGAAACTTGATTTCTGAAATGGCACCAATCCTCTTAGCAAAGGGCGTAACTTCGTGGCGGGGGCTACCTAAGGAGCCCCCAGCAAAAGCCCATCCTCCCGATCCCCCCCCCTCGAAATTTTGAAACATGCACAAACACTGTTAAGCAGCGATTCATTTGCTTTAAGTGCCCTTGAAAAAAGTGTGTTCCAGGTACCCCGGTCACCCTCGTTACGCTCATGAACATCCCCATTCCCTGAAAAGAAACATCTTTCCAGCTTACCACTGCAAACCTAAGTTGGTTTCGGAACTTAGAACAAATATCCTAGCTAAATTGCAAGTAAAACCTCTCTCTTTTTTACCTTTTCCACAGGACAGCTTTAGTTTCTCGTGTGTCTACAATCAACATCGTTGTTTTCAGAACTTTAAGAAAATTCCACAGAATACTCAAAGTGCGTTCTTTGTGAAGACACGTCACTGATAACGCGACGCGATAACTCAGATGCTTCGTACCTGGGACACATCTCGGCGTCTTGTTGGTCCACTCCCCGTTGATACACTCGGAGGACGGGGAACCCTTGAGGATAAATCCCCGGTGACATTTGTATATCTTAAGCGCGCCGGTGGTCAGCTGCGCCCGTGAGTAGAAAGTCTTGACCCCCTGGGGAAGGTTCTTATACTTGATGAACCCGTTCGCGAACCGGCGGTTGTCGGGACAGAATGCTATCAATGGCGGAAAACGCAAAGAGAAACAACAAAGTATCATTAAAAGGCAAGATTTCTTTCACAAGAGACACAAATTATGCAACCTTGACTTACAAAATTGGCACGGTTATGAATCATAGCACAGGCCGTGTCCGAATCACTTGGCTACGGCTTGAACTTCGCACGAGTCAATGGCAGTGGCCGTGGCCAGTTCCCATTTAGTCGTGTGTAAATTCCTGCCGTGGCTAAGTGATTTGGACCTGGACATGGGACAAATTTAGGAAGTTAGAATCCGAACTTTATTAGAAGCACCCCCTCAACGGTTGAAAAGAGCCATGTTGGTCGGGGAATGCTCATTTTGTTGGTAGCGATTCAGTCGTAACGCGTGCATTTCATAGTCGTTTGTGGACCAGCCAAGTGCAGTTCCTACCAAAGGAGCCTAGGAAAAGCTGCGCCCTCTCTTGGTCCATCTCGGGGATCATTCATTCAACAAGGCAATAGTGTCCATGGAAGAACTTAGAAGACAAAAAGTCAAGAATTTTAAACGTTATACCTGAAAGATTAGTCTTGTAATTAAAGTTCGGCGCCACCCAATAGGCCTATCACCTATTTTTCGTTAAATGAACATATTACCAAGAAAATCTTCAGCTTTGTGGTAAACTTAAAACTGGCCATGGGGCAAAAGCTTAATTGAATTCCCCTTAAACTGTACCATTCTGGACTGCAAGAAAATATGTATTAATTTATCAATAGAGGGGCAGTGTGCTGTCCTGTCAATTATACACCTCAAGTATCACAGACCATCAAAACATCTCCCATTTATTTCAGCTGCCTTTTCGTGACTTTGTATTGATCAGTGGTTAAATTGAAAAATATTATGTTTCTCGGTGGGATCAACCTCTCACTGCCAGGGAGCGGAAACTTGCTCTGTGTTTGTGCAGTCCGTCAGGACACGCGATTTCACGAAAACCAGGTCGAGAGCTTTTTGGCTCTAGTGTTCCTGGGGAACCTATCACCAGGAGCGTTACTGGGGTCTTCGGAAATTTACTACTGAGATCCTGTTTCAAAAATACGGTACATCACTGTACCTTTGATCTGGCTAAAGTACAACGTATGGGCAACACAAAAGCTGAGCGTAAATCGCAACCAAACATAGTTGTTGTGATGACGCTAGGGACAAGAGGACTTGCCCCGAACGGTACAGTTTTAAATATAAATCAAATCTCAAGTCCATAACTGTCTACAAGCTGAGCTCTTTGAAATGCCGGGTATGGTCATATTTATTGTGGAAAAATAAACGTTCGTGCAAGCCTGGGTTGGCCTGATGCTGTTTCGTCTTTTGCTGTTAATCCAAAGGCGCAAACTATGGCCACGTGCTGGAATCAAGGCTACCACCTGAGCTGCCTCGCTTATCAAGGGTGCCGCGAAGGGTATTGGGAATGTTCGGTGTGTCATTTCATGGAGCTATAAATGGTTATTTTAAGGGCAGGAAACCGCTAACCAAAGTTCAGTCGATATCTGCATAGAACAGCCGCCGGTCCAATCCAACCCATTTAAGTCCTCCAATCTTCTCGCCTGTACAGCAGCGGATGTTTGAGGGGTCATCGGAAGAGCCAGAAAAAGTGAACCGACATTTGAAATTCCGCTTCGGATTTGACAGTTCAAAACAAACGGCAGACAAAAAATAGCATGTGGAAAAAACACTTGGAACTAAAAAAGTGACCACAATCTCAAAAAACATTCAAGGGAGCGAAGGACTTGCATAGACAGCTGATCTATCTTTGTTCTTCTCATTTTCAATCGTTTAAAAATAGAATAAATCATGCATTGAAACAAGAAAGAACACATTGTATACTTTCACAAAATATTAAATGAAACACGATAAAATACTCGTTAAACCACGGAGGAATAAGAACACATGGTTAAACCTATATAGGTTTTTCTCCACGTGTGGCTAATTTGGGATTTTAGCTTGCACTGTCATCAAGTCCTTTATTATTTTGTAAACAAGGCAGTGTTGTCCGAGTTCTAAATTTTAGACTTGGTATGGGACTGATGAAAGTACTGAAATGCAGGAGTAGCCCATGCAATGGCCAACTTGGAGTAAAACTTTCTCGGAGGCACACAAGGGTGCAGAAGGGAGCACGAGTCTCGGGGGGGGGTATACATCCACTTCGAAAAAAGACGAGTTCAGGTCTTATGAATTTATGTGGCATCTTAGAGGTACATATGTCGGGGCAGATCTAGCTTTCAGGGAAAGGGGGAAGGGTCGATGGGCGACACGGTTGTATACATTATTGTTCACAGACCGCTCGCGGCGACGAGTTGGGCCCCATCTTTGATCCAGTGGAAATCGATGTAATTGTTTACATGTAGATGGATAGATGGACGGCGCAATCCTTGTCCAGAATTTTTTCTGGTACTCATTTCCCGTCGTTTCACTGGCAGTTCCATTTAGTCCGCGGCTGAATGGGGGGGGGGCGGTTGCAACCCTTCCCCCTAGATCCGCCTCTGCGTGTACATTAAATCCAGTGGAAGAAAAGTATTTTAGACACTTGTTGACTTTTGGTTTTTGTGTTACTCCAGAATCTTTATGTAGCATCCAAAATGTAAACTTGGCAGCCAGAATTTAAATCTTGGCGGATACTTCTTGAACATGGTGGGCTGCCAGGCTACGGTGCTTTTCAGGCGGGAGACTTTAGGGGGAAGTGTGCTTAAAACCAGCCCTCATGGACGAAAGCTGTCAGCTACTTTGGGATATTTTTCTGACAAAAGGGGGAGAAAATTAAGCCCGACCTCCGACTTCAATTAAGGAGAGCCTCCAGTCTAGATGACTCGCCCAAAACTATAGACCCAAAATAGGCAGCCTTCTGAAGTCCTGCCCATTTTCCATTGGTGTATAAGTGACGTTGTCAGGGGACATAACAAAGATGGCCGACGACGGCGTTCGTTTTGAAAGCAAGTACGAAGTATTAAGCTATGTGCACTGTTTTCTTGTATGGGATTCATTCGATTAATTTTATTTTCGGTTTTAGATTCCTACGGTATCGTAACACTGTTATTCGGCAAAAAACGAAACCAGAGGTAACAGACGACTCCTTAAACGTCCGCGATGTGATAAATAAATATTTCCCTTCACTGTAAATTCAATTTTAAAGGACCTATTAAAAAAACAACAGTGTCAGCCAGCAGCCAGACATGCCATACTGTGATATCATGAAGGCCATAACTTCCAGCTACTATAAACGCCAGACGAAACATCGACACGCCCGGTGGGTGGGCGTACTGAATCATGACGCGTGCAGGCTGTATTTCGCAGATACTTCTCCGAAAAAGGGGGAGTGGGGTGGTTGCCTAGGACCCCCCCAAAAAACAGCGTAACAAACGCCTTCACGGCGGAGGGAGTTAAACAACTGGGGTTAAGGGAACAAAGTCCAGTTTGAAAGACGTAATATATATCGGAGAAAGTAGCCATATTATTGTTACAACAAAGCCGAAACTAACACCAAACAATAATGAAAAGTATTTCAGGTTTGCTACAACAAATCAACAACCTTAATTTTGTTTCTGAAGCGATAAGTCTTTGGCACTACGTCAAGAAACCGCAAAGCGAGGGCCTTTTTCTTACAGTGTAGGCCTAATCTCTCTGAATACCCCCCCCCCGAAAATCTTTTCAATCTCCAATGATGAGTATCTGTATGATTTTGATTAGCAATGACCAGCCGTTTAAATTCAGATACGCAATTAACAACGGTACTTTTTTGTTGATTATCCTGTATAGTGGTTTAGAAATTTGGTATTTTTATTCCTCGCCTGCGTCTGTAGTGTAAAGAAAACGAATCGATTGGATTTGGTGGGAAATGAAGCGAAAGGGACGGAAAATTTTTAATTACTATCGCAACTGTGAAAAACCGAAATTGTCGTCGTCTATATATCGCTTTTCGCCTAACTCTAACTTTCTTAAATGATAGCCGCTCCAACTGACCTGGTGAAAAACAGAATAAAATATTTAAGAAAAGGATTCATTTGTTCGAAGTTTAAATATGAAGACAGCTTTATTGAATTTACTAATATAGGCCGTGCACTAACAAACCTCGGAGTTTTATACACAACAATGCATGCATTTTGTGATTATACCAACTTCTCGGGGAAAGTACGACATCTGTTCCCAGTCTGCCAAGATCGTGAACTTTGGATTCCCGCTTCATTTTTACGAGATCCAGACTGTACATGCAGAAAACGGTCGTGACTGTTTGGAAATTGAGAACATTAACACAGTGCTCATTATACCAGCAATCATCACCATCGAGCGCCTTCACGTTCCCTGAAAGGAAAACAAAAAAAGGAGAATAAAACTCCACTTACGGACAAAGAATCCCCGTACTTGTCCAAACCTGAGAGTGAGAGACAAAAAGACTTGGAGAACTGAGAGAAAGACGGTAGAAATCCACATAATTGTAAGAGGTTGGAAAAGCCTTCCCGTCGCTAGCTGTACACAAGTAAACTTCGGGGTCACCAGTTGTTTCTCGTTGGCAGTCACTCAGCACAGGGTCCGCAGGGTAACGAGGTAAGCGGGCCCGACTTCCCCCCGAGCGACTGGTGAGACGGGACGTACCGACGGTCTGTGAGCTACTTTGGCAGACGTCAGCACCTTTGCTTGCCCCACGGACTTATTGTTTTTCTAAGGCAGCAGCGCAATTTATAGCCTCGTTACTCCGTCGAGTGGTGACGGTTTGCTGGCAATCGTTGTGGTACGGTTGCACTATAATAATGGGCGATTGATTCGCCAGCGAGACTTTAAAGTCAGCTGTAATTTCGTCTCTGCTCGTGGCGAAACCGTCGCACTGATATTTTCAAAATTAATTCCAGCCCTCGAGGTTCGCTACTGCCCATTCCTGGTCCCGTCCGTTTGCATTTATATACTGTACACAGCTTGTGCGTGGTTTACGCATACATCGCTAGTGGTTCTCGGGACTGTGATCTCCTGATGACGGAAACGTGGGGGACGGTGGGGTCTAGTCAGAAAAGTCGGGGGTTGATGATCGTCGTTATCGCGGCATCAGGCTCAGCAAGACGACGTACGGTGACTCACTTGTCCACCATGCAAGGATGTTGAACCCAATTCCGCGATTTTTCCACGAAAGAGTGACCACGGTAAACCAACGCTTACATCCAGTGTCAAAGTTGCAAGCCGGAATCAACCTCCTCATTAATTCCCCCGTTTTGGAGAATTTTTACCCATGGGCCTGCAATAACCAAACACCATAAATTCTGCACTACCGTTGAGCCTTATCTCTCCGTTCTGGTGCTGTGGCGCACGGCGCACGCACAACAGCCAATAGTAATCTACCCCAACCGGGGCTTTTATATCCTTGATCCTTTGACCAAGGAAGTATGACTAAAAACTACAGCTGTTGAACGATCTGGCTGATCACTTCACGCAGGCTGACATCATGCAAGAACCGTTCACGATGAACCTGTCTGATGTGTTGTTTTTAAGTATCCGCTGGAGTAGCGTGGACATGTGCAGGCGAATGTGAGAGAAGTCGGTTGCGCCTCACTTTCCATAGCACGTGATATCACATAATAATCAGGCGCGAGAGAGCGGGACCGGCACAAGCCACTTAATGCGGTGTACCTATCTGCCTCGCCGGCATTGCATTTTGCCAGCTTGGGCGCTCTGTCCAGGCATGGAGCTATAAAAAGCCTCCATGGTCCAGGCCACCGAGAACAATGACAAGTCCCGGGCACCATGGTGTGACAGTCCTGGTTCGAGACGCGACCTAAATGCCCATGAACTCGCGGTTGGTCTTTTCTTCGCTACATCTGCAATTTTCATCAGTAGCCATCCGCCACATTGTGACAGGGTGCCACAAAATGAGAAATAAATTGGCCAAGCATTCAAATGCCGCTAAATCGTTTTAATATTGTCCTAAGAGTCAAAGAAGGCCAACTTCCCTGCATAAAAATCATAGTAAAGGGCACTTTAACTGCCCTGTTTATCACCTATGAGCCCCATCTTCATTTTTCTTTCGCATTTTAATCTAAAATGCCTCGATTTTGTTTTGTTTTGTTTTGTTTTGTTTTTACTTCGAGGGCTGAGCGACTTATCCCTCGAATTGCGGGATCAGCAAGACCGGATTCCACTGCAGAGTGAAGGGAAGTTCGATGACCACGTGATCATTGAGTCTTCGCTTGAAACATCAGTGCAGGTTTACAGTTTCCTGGCATTTTTCCGATATTAGGAAACGATGATCTCATAGTCACAACTTTTTGACAGCATTGCTTGGACTCTGAAAAGGGGGACGGGTCGCGCTCCCCAAGTTCTGTCAACGGAGGGCGACAAACGTCTCACCTATGTTTGCGATTCAAATACTGAACAGAATGGAGGGCGCCCTATACGCCCACTCTCGATCGCGATCTCTGGAGCCCTGTGCTTTGCAAGTTAAAATTAAATACCACTAGATAATCGATAGAATTTGGTTCTGAAATCGTAGAGAAACTAACACTCAAAGTCGTTTAGAAGTCACACTTAGCGCATAGAGACTCCAATTTGAACCCTACGCTTATAGTACGTCGTGTTAGTAGGCACCCTTAAATAAGTTCGTTCCCAAACATGACTAGTCTGTGCTGAGTTCGGGCGGCTTGTTCTCATATATGTTCAAGAACAGCTCGATTTTTGGCCGAGTTCGGGCGGCTTGTTCCCGTATGTTCTGAACATCGTGACGAACAGCTCGATTTGTTGTTCGTGGGTCGGCCGCTCGAACGTTGTGAACAAACAACCGGTTATCGCTGGTAGTTAGTGACAAGCAACATGCAACATGGCGGCGTCCATGTAGGCTACGTTATTCGAGAGTTAATGTTTGGATGGGCTGAATTCTTTGCTAAATAAACGGGAAGATTCATTTCTGTGTTACGGAAAATAACTAATCTTAATTTTG